CCAAAATATTTTTAAAATGTGAACTTTTTTAAGTACATCACTGCCATATATATTTCTTTTCAAATCTTTATAATAAGGGAGATATTGAACTTTGATACACTATTGGGCCACCCATGCTGGGATAGTCCGTAAAAATGCCACATTTTGGACAAGGTCGCAAAATAATCTATGTTTTCGTAAATATTATCAACAATTTTTTTTGTCAAGAGAATTTAGATAACTATTAACCTACAGACAAATTTATCATAAAGTTGTCTTTCGGATATTGTTTTTCTATTTCCTAATTTTCTAGTATCAGTAAATGTTTATAGATACAAAAATATGTATAAATACGAGAACATAAAAGGAACGTATTTCAATCTCAGTTGACAATTTGCCAGATCAGTCAGAATAATATCTGACCTAACACAACAAATTCAAAATAATTATGTAAAATACTAGAAAAACTATTCCTAATATTCTTTTATTCATGAGTAAACTGTATAACTTTACCTGATCAACTATTTACGATGTCAACCCAAAAAGTTGCTGTGGTAAGTACTTAATTCCAACATATTTAAAAAAAATCATTGAATTTCCTTTTCAAAACAGGTTACAGGGGGCAACAAAGGTATTGGATATGCCATAGTTAAGGGCCTTTGCGAGAAATTTAATGGTGCCGTGTATTTAACAGCTAGAGATGTTGGTAGAGGAGAAGCAGCAGTTAAGAAATTGAAGGAACTTGGTTTCAACCAACCATTCAACCATTCCATCAACTGGACATTACAGACCAGTCTAGTGTTGACAAATGCAAGGAATATATTAAATCAAACCATGGGGGCATAGATCTTTTGGTTAATAATGCTGCTACTGTCTATTGGGTATGCCGAGTTCCATAAATTATTGTTTATTAAAATCTTATAATTGCAAAAGCAAAATGAAGTAGTTAGATAAGTTTATTCCAAAATATTTTCCAATTTTAATTTTTCACATAATTAAGTTCTACTTTGGAAACTTGTCTGTTTGCAACGTTCGCAAAGGATTATAATATTTTGAAAATATTATTTAAAACTAAACTAGATACTTTTTTGTGAAATAAATTGTGGATTCAACTTAGCAATGATGACTATGTTTAGGATAATGCAACTATACCTGCAGGCCAACAAGCTGAAGAAACTGTAAAAGTTAACTATTTCGGGACACTAAGAGTATCTGAGGCACTTTTCCCACTATTACGCAATAATTCCAAAGTTGTAAATATTTCAAGCTCTGCTGGCCATCTTAGCCTAATCTCATCTGCAGACTTGAAGGCAAAATTGGGCGATTCTAACTTGACCATTCCAGACCTTAACAAATTGATGGAAAAATTCGTAAAGTACGTAATAATAGTTTTATCATTATTTTTACATATTATCTGCATTGTATGACTATAATAATTAATTGCCAATATCGCTTGTTTGTTTTTGTAAAAAGTTAATAATATAAATTGTGGTTTTCGTTGTTTGTCGCCGTGATAAATTACAATTTATCAGTTATTTGATGAATTTTGTCAGACATAAAATTGCTACAAAATAAAATTATATAGATTTAGTTATATTAATTTGTCATCATTTAGGGACGCCAAAGAGGGCAAAGCGGAATCAGAAGATTGGTCTCATGCTTACGTCGTGTCCAAAGTAGGAGTGAGTGCCTTAACCTTTGCCCAACAGAGATTGTTCGATAAGGAACAACCGAACAGGAATATTGCGGTCAACGCTGTGCATCCCGGCTACGTAGATACCGACATGAGCAATCACCAAGGACCGTTGACTCTTGAAGAAGGGGCAAAAGCACCCCTTTATTTGGCCCTTACGGCTGATTTCAAAGGAAAATACGTCTGGCATGATTGTCAAATTGTGGACTGGTATGGAACTGCACCTTCGTTGTATTGAATTGCAACAAAGATGTTTTTTTTATTTACATGCTGATTTTGTACATATAACTTTGGAATATATATTTTTGCAGCAATTTATGTATTTGTCTTCGAAATACCCACACCGATATACAAATATGTATAAGTAGCATTCATTATATTGATTCTATGCAATGAATCTAATATTTTTAAGACAGTGGTACCACTATTCAAATGGTCCTACTTTAAAAGGTTTTAAGGGATATTTTCTTTTAAATTAATTTAAGAAAAGTAAAGGGCGCTTCAGTTTTTACTAAAATGTCATGCTATGCTTCAAGCAGTTCTTAGAATTTAAAAAATTGCGACAACAAAAAATCTGTATATACAGCAATGTCATTTAACATTTCTAGCACAGGTAAAGCAGACTTGCTATCAAAATAAATGAAATAGACTCCCGAGTTTGAAAACCGATATTAAGAAAATGTATTGGCAAAAAAAATTCAAATTTGGACCATGTGTAGCCTCACTATTACTCTATTGTATGCTAAAATTTCATTAGTTTCGTTATTCCATTTTTTAGTTATTAATGAAAATGTTGAAAAAATCACTGTTTTCTGCCTACAAAATTGATACCTCTCAGTTTAACCTGTTGTAATTTTTTTGTTAATTGATAAAAAAATTCCAAACTTTTACTGAGGATAAGTCGAACTATTGTCATTAGTACTTTGAAGGTCATTTGTCTCAAAAGCTCTTCTTTTTTTTTATTTTTAAGCAAAACAGAAGGGAGTGCTATCTTTGTAAATACAGTACAATCTCACTAATCTGGCACCATTAAAAACCTAAGAGTGCCGGAGTACTAGAAAGTTCGGATTAATGGAAAATGTATATGTAAACAGTATTAAATTAAAAAACTTTACTTTTAATTGTTTATTAACAAAGATATTGGTACATAGATACATACATATTACAGTTGTATATGCATATAGGTATATGTATATTGTAATGTTTTTATGTTTCTGTAAAATAATCTTTCAACTAAACTATAACTGTATAAACTGTATTCTTCATGAATCAAGGCTAACATGATTAGTTTTCGAAATATTTGAAAAAAATCGAAATTTTGGAAATCCGTTTTTGTTTAATTTCATCCTTGTTTGAGGAGATATTGAAAAACGAAGAACACTTTCTCATGGCCACTTTTTGTCCTCTATCAAATGGCATAATCAATTTTTATATATAACGTTTCGCCTCTCCCGAACCATCAACTTCATTTTTTTAAATACGACCCTGTAAATTTTATAACATTTTTTGCAAGCCTTCATGACCGCCAATATTGTCCTGTCTCAGCATGAACCAGATTCAGACATTTTGTCTCGAAAAATCATTTTCAATGTATTCGTCCCAAATTTATCTAATTTTTTAATTTAGATTTCTATGTTTATTGAATTATCGTACACTCTAAGTGTCGTTAAACTCTGTGACACTTGTGAAATCCACCTAGTTTTTTAACCTATTACTATCACACGTTACAATAAAACGTTATTCGTGTTTTAATCTCTATCATCTGGTCATACATAACTCGAATATGTTGTTGCAACCAAATTAAAAAACATTATTACAATTCTAATTTCATTATGACAAATTCATTCTTAAAAATGCATATGGACAACCAAAACTCCAAATGAATATTATACTTTAAAAAATTACAGTAAATGTTCGAAAACGTTTCCGTTTTGGCAAAATTTCAGTTTTCTTTTAAATATTTCAAAAACTAATGTTAACCTTGATTTTGAGGCAGGCAGTGGGTGAGAAGTATATTTCCTGATTGCAGAAAACTACAAATAAGGTAGGCCTGGGCGCCAGCCGAAACAAATCGACAAAAGGGAAGAGGAGCGTAAGACTTACACAAAATTTTGATCTTAAAATGCTTAAAAACTTTAATGTGAGCTAAAATGTATAAAATTCTATGACTTCGATTAATCAGGTAATGATTTTGTGAAAATGATTAATTAAATAAGTACTTAAAATTACTTAGATACTACTATATAAATAGATGAACATTATTTAACATATTTAATTATTAACAAATGAGTGGGTATTATTTAGGTATCAATTACACGGTAGAGAAATAGTCTTCGTGCAGGTGTTATACGCCAGGTAAGTATTTATCTTACATTAGTGTATATGCAACTCAAAATGAGCATGAAAAAATAAAACATATTAAATCCCCAGATAACAGCTGTTATTCGGTTTATAAAACATACTATGTATCTGTTATACGTAGTATAATTTTATTGACATCAAAAGCCAAAATGGCATATGTCAATTACCATCTCAGACCAATAAATATTATTATAATTAGGTAAATAAATTGTTCATATATTTGTTCTCTAATAAATATTTGTGAGAAATAGATTGTTAAAAAAATTGTAGAACTTGCAGCACAGAAAATCTAAAGTTTCAAGGCAAAATGGTCGACGATAACAGCTCTCCACTACTTCTTTAGGGTTTGCACAAGACAGCAAAATGTCATAACAAATGAAAATGTACGCACAGCCTTAGGATCACGTAATCAAGACAGCTCACCAAGTGCCTTCGGCTTACGTAAAATACAGCGGCTACACGGCTACTTTTTCTAAGGTATCGGGTCAGGTAAGTATAGGACAGGCAAAAGACTCAGCTATCCATGTGACATAATTTTCTTCTTTAATTTTTCAGGCTCATTTATTGCTCAACATCAACAAGAACAGCAATAGCATTAACTACAGTATCAGGGAGGAATTTCGAGAAACGCCCATGTACAACGTTGGATAGAAACTCTAATTAACAGTTTCGTACGTATATCTTAAGATTCCTAAGACCTACAAAAACCAAATCGTCTAAACAAAACGTGCCAAATACAATTGCGGGTAACAAATAATTATCAAATTATGCATTTTTCAAATAATGAAACACTCACCCTATCCCTTTAAAGAAAAGAATTACAATTATTGATTAAGTTTATATATATGTATGTGGAGCAACTGCCATTTGAGGTTTCTAGCACAGATAGGGAACATCTAGTCTATTGGTAAAAAAAAAGGTAGTAGCCTAACAACTAAACTGATATTAGGCCACAACTAAACTGATGCTGGACCACATACTATAATGTACCAGAAATTATAATTGACTTAAATCATTCGCAATAGACGAATAATAATGTTTAATATATCTTGTATAACAAAAAAAATGTGCGATCTCAATGGAGAACCAGTAGTTTCAATCACCAATTCTCTTAGAGAGAAACGATACTACAGAAGAGATATTAAGGAGAGAACTTGATTAATTAATTCCGTGGTTTTGCAAATACAACCTTGACCATGCCTTTTAATATTTTCGATGACCTGTAGAAATCAAAACCACATCTAAAGCTATCGATCTCTTGTATTTGCTTGTGGTTGATGTTAATAATACGACATTATCGATTGTTTTTCAATACTGAGACAACAAAGCAACCCGATATAAAAGCAATAAATCATGAACGAAGCCACTGTAGTTGATGTACGGAAGTAAAAGACCACTCTATAACACGATTTTTCTTGTGTGAGTGGTATTGAAGATGCCAACTGAGAAAATCGCTGTGGTAAGTAAATTTGTTATAAACCACACGCTAAAACCATATATTGTTGATTTTTATAAGGTAACCGGGGCCAATAAGGGAATAGGCTTTGCGATAGTAAAGGGTCTATGCGAAAGATTTCAAGGGTCTGTTTATTTGACATCGAGAAATGAAGAAAAAGGAAAAACGGCAGTAGCGAAGCTAAAAGAGTTGGGTTTTAACCCGCTATACCATCAACTGGATATTGCTGATCAGACCAGTGTGGATAATTTCAAAGAACACATTCGAACCGCTCATGGGGGATTGAATTTGTTGATTAACAATGCTGCTGTTTTGTATCGGGTAAGAGTAGAAACTTTATATGCTTGGAGTTTGTGGTTCTCTTGTAGACGGAATAAGAAATTATCTCTCACAGAAATATCATATGGTTAAATTAGAAAATGTTATATCTAACAAAATCACAAAGGTTTCAGGTGTATCCCAAGGCTCTCACTTTGAACCATTGTTCTTTAATGTCTTTCTAAGTGATATTTTTATTGTTTGAAATAATTTTAAATCATTCTCAATTATAACTGGCCAACAATTTTTTTAGTCATTACGATTTTTACATTTCACTTTCTGCTTTTGTAAGTCAGTTTTTAAGTAATCTCAAATTTAGTTGTCAGATCCACCGCAACCAGCTGCCGAACTCGCAAGGCTTGCAGAGAACACCCTAAATATCAATTACTACGGCACCAAACGCATATGTGAAGCGTTATTTCCATTGTTACGCAACAATGCCAAAGTTGTAAACGTGTCGAGTTCAGCTGGTCATCCGTCTAGAATTCCCTTGGCAAGTTTAAGAGCAAAATTCACTAATCGCGATTTGACTATTCCACAACTGGATCAACTTGTTGAAAAATTCCTCAGGTAAAATTACCAAAATATATATCTCAGGTCTTTATAATTCCCTGCATGTCGTTTTAGTGATGCCCGAGACAATAAAACAGAACAAGAAGGATGGGGTAAACTCCCTTATTGCGCCTACGTTATATCGAAAATCGCTGTTTCTGCATTTACAAATATCCAACAAAAAAGCTTTGATAAAGAAGTGCCCCACAGGAATATTTCCATCAATTCTGTTCATCCCGGTTGGATTAAAACGGACATAAACGATCAGGGTATTCAGACCGTTGAGCAAGGTGCCAGGGGGTCTCTTTATTTGGCGTTGGATGCAGAATTAAAGGGGAAATATGTCTGGTTTGACTGTCGTCTTGTGGACTGGTATGGAGAGACCTCGCCACCAAAACCGACAGCATAACAAATATTTGTTATAAATATTATTAGATAAAAATGAATTGGATATGAACAATACATACGGAACCATCGAACAAGTGTTTTATTTCTATTGAATCTTAAAAACAGATTATTTTTTTATGTGATTTATTTATTTATTTACACACCCCCGTGAGGTAATAGGAACAATTTGTTTAACATACATCATTTAAACTTTGCTGAATGATCAAGCAGTGTTACAGTGAGATAATTTTAGAATAAATTTTTAGGTCATCTGCATATAAACAGGTATTCAACATTCAACATTAAATGTTTAATAATATCATAAATAAAGAGTATAAAAATATAGGCTCAATTATACAGGGTGATTCACAAATGGTGACCAAAAATGAAACCTAGTATTCTTTGGTGAATTTTAAGGGAAGTCTTTCCTATAAATGTTTTATCTAGGACGCCTCATTAAAAAGATACAGGGTGTAAAACTTAAAATAAATATTTTAATTTTTTTAAATAATTTAAAAACCAGTAAGTGAAATACTTTTTAGTAATGAAAATGTAATTTATTCAAAATTTATTATTGCTTCAATCTGATGAAAAGCATTATTTATTGTTTCTTCTAACTGCTCAGGTGTATTAATTTGTTTAACGTATACATGTCGTTTAACAGCATCCCACAAAAAAATCCAGTGGGTTGAGGTCCGGTTTTTGAACAAAAAAACAAATAATTTCTGATTAATAATCGTTGATTTAGTGAACATTAAAGAAAATGTGTTGAAAAAAGATGAAAAATTTTTCATTAAACTGTTAATAACAGTGAAAATTGTTAATCAATTGAAAAACCCCTAAGATATTCCATGTATTTTGTTATTGTGAAACTCTATACAAAATTTCATGTCGATTTGTTGGAAACTTTTTGAATTATGTTTGTTGCCAGTTAAAAAAATGTGGTTTCTCAAAAAATACTTCGTATACGAAATTCGTTCCTATGTACATCTTCAATCAACGATGCCTGCACCATATAATTGGCCTTCTTGATGTGAAACCCAATCTGGCCTCTATAATAACTATCGCGTGCGTTCTCACGAGTTACAGTAAGCACTCCTGCAGTGCGTTGCGAGTGGTTGCGCTCCACCTTGAAGAAAACTCATATTCCAGATTTTTCCACCATCTAAAACTCTTTTCCTTTATTCTTCACATAAAGCGTTGTTTAAACAATTTATCCAAAAATCAATTTTTTCAAAGTTCTAAGGTGACTTTACCCCTTAAATAAAAAAAATTAAGGCGAGAAGAATTACAATTATTGATTAAGTTTGTATATCGTAGAGCAGCTGTCATAGTAGCCTAACCTAACAACTAAACTAATGCTAGACCATATATAATATGTACCGGAAATTATAATTGACAAATAATTCACAATAGACGAATAACAATGTTTAATATATCTTGTGTAACAAACAAACCGTGAGATCTCAATGCAGAAGCAATAGTTTCAATGACCAATTCTCTTAGAGAAAAACGATAATACACAAGAGATATTAAAGGAGAGAACTTGATTAATTAATATCGTGGTTTTGCAAATTCAACCTTGACCATGCCATTTAATATTTTTGACCTGTACAAATCAAAACCACATCCAAAGTTATCGATCTCTTGTATTTGCTTGTGGTCGATATTGATAATACAAAATTATCTATTGTTTTTCAATACTAAGACAACGAAGCAACCCAATATAAAAGCAATAAGTCATGAACGAAGCCACTGTAGTTGAACTACGGAAGTCTATAACACGATTTGTCTTGCGTGAGTGGTATTGAAGATGCCAACTGAGAAAATCGCTGTGGTAAGTATATTTGTTACAAACCACCCGGTAAAACCATTGTCGATTTTTATAAGGTAACTGGGGCCAATAAGGGAATAGGCTTTGCGATAGTAAAGGGTCTATGCGAAAGATTTCAAGGGTCTGTTTATTTGACATCGAGAAATGAAGAAAGAGGAAAGGCGGCAGTAGCGAAGCTGAAAGAGTTGGGTTTTAACCCGCTATACCACCAACTGGATATTGCCAATCAGACCAGTGTGGATAATTTCAAAGAACACATTCGAACAGCACATGGAGGATTGGATTTGTTGATTAATAATGCTGCCATTGGGTATCAGGTAAGAGTACAAGCCTTGTACCTTAGAAACTACCTAGTATAGAGAAAATTAATGGTGCTCGTTCTCCTATTTTCAGGTATTGCAGTTTTAATTTTTCTACATCATTATGGATTATATTTAACATACCTTTAAATCAAGGTGCTTTTCTTAAATTAGGCTTTATATCTCCCACTTTTAGAGAAGACCTTTTATTAATAATATATAATACAATAATTAATTAAGATCTTGTAGTTTGTGGTTCTCTTCTAGACTGAATCAGAAGTTTAGTGTCAGGTGTACCCCAAGGCTCTCACTTTAGACTGTTATTCTTTAGTATCTTTCTAAATGACATTTATGAATGCTGCCAATTTAAATTTTTATTGTTTGCAAATGATTTCAAATCACTCTCGATTATAACTGCCACTTAAACGATACGGATGCTTATCTTTCCAAATTTCAGGCTATATCATTTTTAAGGGTTAAAGGAAAGGTTGAACATATATACCACATAATTATTGAATTACTTATGTGTCTTGTCGTCGCTTTCTCCTCGAAAAAAAATAAAGATTTAAATTATTTTGCACCTACCTGCTTTCCACACTTAGATTTTATTTGCCCTTATGTAGCTTTCAAGTAATCTGAAATTTAGTTGACAGATCCACCGCAACCAGCCGCCGAACTTGCAAGACTAGCAGAGAACATCCTAAATATCAATTATTACGGCACCAAACGCATATGTGAAGCGTTATTTCCATTGTTACGCAACAATGCCAAAGTTGTAAATGTGTCGAGTTCAGCTGGTCATCCGTCTAGAATTCCCTTGGCAAGTTTAAGAGCAAAATTTACCAATCGTGATTTGACTGTTCCACAACTGGAACAACTTGTTCAAAAATTCCTTAGGTAAAATTTTCAAAATATACATCTTACGTCTTCATAATTCTCTGCATGTCGTTTTAGTGATGCCCGAGACAATAAAACAGAACAAGAAGGATGGGGTAAACTCCCTGGTTGCGCCTATCGAATATCGAAAACCGCTGTTACTGCCTTTACAAATATCCAACAAAAAAGCTTTGATAAAGAGGTGCCCCACAGGAATATTTCCATCAATTCCGTTCACCCGGGTTGGATTAAAACGGACCTAAATGATCAGGGTATTCAGACCGTTGAGCAGGGTGCCAGGGGGCCTCTTTATTTGGCGTTGGATGCAGAATTAAAGGGGAAATACGTCTGGTTAGACTGTAGTGTTGTGGACTGGTATGGAGACACCACTCCACCAAAACCAACAGCATAACAAATATTTGTTATAAATATTATTAGATAAAAATGAATTGGATATGAACAATACATACGGAACCATCGAACAAGTGTTTTATTTCTATTGAATCTTAAAAACAGATTATTTTTTTATGTGATTTATTTATTTATTTACACACCCCCATGAGATAATAGGAACAAACCTTAAATAAGCTACAAAAAATGTAATTTATAAAGACTAAACATTGAGTTTGAAGTATACACACCGTGACCACAACAATTTGAGTTTGAGAGCATTCAAAAAATCTTGCTAGAAGAAAACCTACTCTAAATAAGCTGATTTATTGTTAGTAATATTAAGAATATGTTCAATAACGATATCTTCTAAAACATTATTCCATGAGTGTCCCACACTGCTTAATTTATATTACTGAGCTTATATCTTTTTAATTCTTAGTATAAGACATAACATTAGCATTTTAAAAGATTTTAAGAAAAAATATTAAGGGTTTTTTGGCGAGAAAACCGCTAACCCGGTTAACTATAGTTTGTTGCGGTTTGCCGTTTTGGCGAGAAATGTTGTTAACCCGGTTTGGCAGAGTTTGCCTAACCATCAAACCGGACTTGTGGGTTGGTTTGGATCTTAAGTTAATATTTCTATCTTTGTTTATGTATTTTCTGTTTCGTACCTAGTAGTCACTACTTCGTTTTTTTAGAGGTTTGGATAGGTTAAGTTGTAAATAAAAAAATTTGGTAATGGATTCACTGCAAAAAATACAAAGTAATATTTGAAATTGATAATAAAAAAATAGTAATCGAGGATCCAAATAACTTTAATCGTTTATTAGATGGTAAATATGCATTTTATATATTGTACTGTATAGATCTTTATTAACTTCCTTTTAGACGATACATTTGCGTTTGAATAGATAATATTTGTGAACAAGGTAAACCCATTTTGATTTAATAACCATACATTAACGTTCTTTCATGGATCTGCATTTCAGATTAGGAATAACAACTATAGTATATAAGAAATAATTAAACAACTTGAGCTACGAGCACTATCATAGATTATAGGTTACGATTTCATTATTGATTAGATATCCAAACCAAAAGAATTTTTGCGAGTTCTGTCAAATGTTAACTCAAACTCTTAACACAATCAAACTCGAGCTAACCGGGTTTGATGTGGTTTGGCTCGCCAAAAAACCCTTAATGCCAAAAGGGATTAATGATATTCATAGCTGACAGGAGGAAGATGGTCACTCTTTGATTTTATAAGCAACGGTAAGGAATGATTCAAAGAGGTGTAACGTGTAACTAAAATTTAAACATAGTCCGCGAAATGGCACATTTTCAGACTAGATGGGAAGGCAAAATAATGAGTTCTATAAATATTATTCAACAATTTTATTTTGTGAAAATAATATAGATAGTTACCGACCTACTTATTTATCACAAAGATTGTTTTCATGTTTTCTCACATAGAGTGTTTCTATTTCCTACTTTTATTATATCAGTTAAATGACGTCAAGTGATACACAAAATATAAATAGGTGAACATAAAAGGAACGTACTTCGTACTTCAATACTTCAATTTCAGTTCGGTTGTTGCCTAGATAAATGATACTAGGTTGTTGGGTTGGTTGGTTAACAACAGTTGAGAATCTGTCAGAGTGATAATTAATTATCCTCTTTTTAATCTGTGGTGATAATAAAACCTAACCAAAAACAACAAATTAAATAAGTAGAAATAAAATATTATTACAGAATAGACGAAAAATACTACTCCTAATATTGTATTATTTGCCAGTAAACCATATAAGATTCTTAAGATGTCGACACAAAAAATTGCTGTGGTAAGTAACTGAAATAGATAAAAAACGTCAGTTTTCTTTTTGAAACAGGTTACAGGGAGTAACAAAGGCATTGGATATGCCATAGTTAAGGGCCTCTGTGAGAAATTTAATGGTTCTGTGTATTTAACAGCAAGAGATGTTGGTAGAGGAGAAGCAGCAGTTAATAAATTGAAAAAACTTGGCTTCAACCCTCTGTTTCACCAATTGGATATTTCAGACCAGTCTAGCATCGACAAATTTAAGGAATATATTCAATCAAAACATGGGGGCATAGATGTTTTGGTTAATAATGCTGCTATAGCGTTTAAGGTATATTGATTACAATAATTTATATATTGAAATCTTGTAATTGCATTAGCAAGATGTTTGCATCATTTTATAAAGGGTTGGATGTTTTTTTATATGAAAGCTTTAACTTAATGATGTTTATGTTTAGAATGACGCTACTGAACCTTTTGGCCAACAAGCGGAAGAAACCATAAAAGTTAACTATTTTGGGACACTAAGAGTATCTGAGGCACTTTTCCCATTGTTACGGAACAACGCCAAAGTTGTAAATGTTTCCAGCTCGCTTGGTCATCTCAGCAAAATTCCATCTGCGGACTTAAGGGTGAAATTAAGCGATTCTAACTTGACCATTCCAGATCTCAATAAATTGATGGAAAAATTTGTAAAGTATGTAATAACAGTTTATCTCTTCTTATTAATATCAGCTGGCAGCATATATCTCTGTCATATAGATTTTCAGTACTGAAATTTTTTAGTTATTTGACAAATACGCAAAAGTAACCGCATGACGACTAATAATTATCGATTTTGAATCAACTTAATAGTGTATATTGTCGGTTTGGTTGTTTGTCATTCTGATAAACTGCAACTTTTATGTTTTTGGAAAATGTTATCACAATCAAACAGAACCAAACTGACTTATAAACAACCACTACATTATTTAACAAATATTTAAGTACTCAAATTCCTTACATGTATAACTTAGATTAGATTTCCGAGACTTATTATTTGAACTTTGCCAAACATAAAATTTCTACAAAATGATACGAGATCAGAGATTCAGATAAATTAATTTACCATTATTTAGGGATGCCAAAGAGAACAAAACGCAATCAGAAGGTTGGGGTGACTCAGCTTACGCCGTTTGCAAAGTAGGAGTTAGTGCCTTAACCTTTGCCCAACAGAGGTTGTTTGATAAGGAACAACCGAACAGGAATATTGCGGTCAACGCCGTTCATCCGGGCTATGTAGATACCGACATGAGCAGTCATAAAGGAACTTTGACTATTGAAGAAGGGGCAAAAGCTCCTCTTTATGTGGCTCTAGAGGCTGATTTCAAAGGAAAGTATGTCTGGCGCGATTGTAAAATTGTCGACTGGTATGGAACTGCACCCTCAGGATATTAAGTTGCAACAGATTTTTTTGTATTTGTATGTTGATACCGTGCTTTCAATTTTGAAATATATATTTTAGCAGCAATTTTGTTGATATTTTTTTGACATACACACACCGATATACTTAAAAATTTCATGAAAATAAGTAGAAAATCGCCAAGTTAATTCTATATATTTCAGAAACATCCTATATAGTGGTTCTACTAATTACAAGATAATGATACGGTGCTAGCATATAAAAAACTGAGGAACATTTTTTTATAAGAATTATAATTTTTTGTCACCTGTAAAAATTTAAAATTATTGAAATAAACCCTTGTCCTAACAGGATCAGTAAAGGGTTATTTTTATGAAAATGGTTCTGCCTAAACAAAAATCTCACTGAGAAAAACAGACAAATATAAAATGTACAAAAAACACATCGCTTAAAAAGTTGTTGATGTTTTGAAAATATATCCGTTTTCATCTTCTGAACTTTTTTTGACTGCTTTTTAGTTGCTTTGACTAATCTCAAAAATCAAAAAAGTTCACAAGACGAAAACAGATAGAATTTCAAAACGTCAACTTTTTAAGTGACATGTTTTTTCTTTTTGTACTATATTTTGTATTTGTCTGCTTTTCTCAGTGTGATTTTGGTTTAGGCAAAACTATTTTCATAAAAATAACCCTCAACTAAAAAGTTGTCGAAAATTAATTAAATCTATTGATTTATATTAATTTGAATTACCTTTTTTAGCAGAAATCTATTATCACACGCTTCTTGTAGAAATCCCTCAATTTTCTCTTTCGTTAGAATTCTGGACTTTTTCGGACGGTATCCAACTGATTTGCTTTTTAAATATGGTATTAGTTTTGGAAATTTTCTGATATTTACATTTTTTTTTGGCATTCCTCTTTCTTTTTAACTTGGAATATACTGACCATAGCATAGTTTAATTTTATTAATTTTATGTTCGAAATATGCCAGTAATAATGCTTCAGACTCTTACTATACCGATAATCGGAAACTATACTTACCTACTATTGGTTATAAATCATTTGTCTTCGTATAAGCACCTCAGTTTTGAGACAAAAAAAATTGGATTTTCACTTTTCTAGTTTTTTTAATAATTTTTTTGAACAACTCAACAAATAAAAGCAATCGGAAAATTTTCCACTCTTGATTTTCAATTTGTTTTTGCCTCCTTAAAAAAAAACCCAGGACGGCCGTTACTTTTGGGACACCCTGTATAGTTCTGACACTACTTTTACAAACAACTAATTTTTGTTGTTTATTAGGTTGCTATCGTTACAATAGTCACCGCGCTTAAACCGTCTTGATTAAAACACGGTTCAAACAATTTCAAATATAAATTAAATTGTAACGAGCGGTCAAATAAAAACGTGGTCAAGTTGGTTCTGAAAATTTGGACGTAGGGCGTAGCTGAACTTAAACGTCATCTGTCAAAGCGCTATATCGCCGCTATCAATTTGAATATTTTCGTTTTAAAAAGCGTTTAAAATGGTGTTTTCTCAAGAACAAAAAGTGTTTATCATAGAGTCCTACTTTAGAAATGGACGCAAGATTGATGGAATATGGAAGTATTCTATTGAGGAATGTTTCATAGAATTTCAAAATCAATTTCCCGGCGTTGTCGAGTACAAAATTTTTCAAAGTGCAGTTCAGCGTTGTGTTAATGTTTTTTGTGAAACAAGAAAAGAAGGAAGCTGCCGACCTAAAAAGCGGACTGAAGAATTAAAAGAAAATGTCCAACAAATAATGGAAAATGCGCCAAGAACTTCTGTACGTGTTTTATCACAAATGGTGGGAGTATCAGTCGGTACCTGCCACACAGTGTTAAAAAAAGATTTGCGTTTGTTCTCCTATCGTTTAACTTGTCAGCAAGAACTTCATGAAGTTGATTTTCCGCGACAGGCTGTATTTTGTGAATGGTTTTTAAACAACTACGGTGAACTTCATATCACCTTTTTTTCTGATGAAGCCTGGTTTCATTTACGTGGTTTCGTAAACTCACAGAATATGAGAATGTGGTCTTCTGAAAAACCAGATAACTTTTTTGTCGAGGGCCCTCTACACGCTCAAAAAATTGGAGTTTGGTGTGCTCTCAATCGAAGGAGGATTTATGGACCTATTTTTTTTTAATGGTACTCTTACTGCGCAAAGGTATAGAGAAGAAATTATCGCTCCTTTTGTTAACCATCTGGAAGGTCATGTGATATTACGCCGTGTGATTTCTTTTTGTGGCCATACCTTAAAAACACTATTTTTGAACTGCCTATTCCTGATTTAAACCATCTGCAGGCTCGACTTATAGACAAGATTCGTGAAATTAACAATACCCCGAGCATCTTAGAAAATGTCTTTAATTCTTTGAGGAACAGGTGTGAAAAGTGCTTGGAACAAGGAGGGGGACACTTTCAGCAGCTGCTTTAATTTATTGTTATAACAAGGAGGGGGACACTTTCCGCAGCTCCTTTAATTGTTTGTTATTGTTATCACGATTATTCTTTAAAATAAAGTTATATAGTCATTAACGTTATTGAAACTGACAGCTGCTATACAGCTCGTTGAGAAATGAGGTTAAGTTGGTCGCTATAAGCTACTCCCTACGTCCAATGTGTCAAAGCAAACTTCGACCACGTTTTTATTTGAACGCTCGTTATATAACACAGTACTTATTTTATTGCACTTTTTGAAAAAAAATTGTTTGCATCTCGAATGCGAAATGCTTTTGCATCCTTGAAGAGGTTTTTATGATTTAGCTATTTCAATGTCTATTTACCGACCTATAACCTACAAAGTATATATCGTTGCACTCAATGCCTACTTTTACAAAGCATTATTTTGTACCTACTGCTAAAGGGCGGGCCTAATTGTAGGTACTAAGAAAGCATTTCTCTCGTTCTAGGATTAGTGATAAGAATCAACCGATCTGTCTGGTGATGCTGCTGACAGATGTTTTTAGATGTTTACTAAATATTGCGGGTATAATTCAATGCCAGACAGGACATGTAGCTCGCAGAGGAGTTGTCTCCCACAGTATCATTAGTTAAAAATGATTTATTAGACTACAACTGAACAATTGCGATAGTGAAATTCTATGCGTGGTACTGAAACACAATGATATGCGGCGCAGCAGAATATAAAACTTTATTACCGATTTACAGGTAAAATTACAGAATTAACAAAATTGATTAAAATATATATAAAACACTATTCAATACACTAAAACTTTACAATTTGCACCAACGCGAAATTTCTCTTAAAAATACACTATTAACCGCATTATTTGCCAAAAGGGCAAGTAATCTTAATAATTCCATTTGTTAATAATTGCTTTCCAATATGTAGTATTTAATTAATGCACTTAATATCATTTCTTTCTCGGTTTCTTGGCAGCAGTTTCGTTAACGTTATCCAACTCCGGGGCGATAGATTGTAACAGAGGCTGCTTGCAAAAACTACCAAAAAGGGTAGTTAACAAGGCAACACCGTAACCAGTGGCTCGTTCACCCTAAAATTCGTAAGATTCTCCTTGAAAAATGTATAATTCATTGAAAAAACCCCCAAATAATTCATTTCTCAACCCAATCCCAACTTACGCTGTGAACTGGAGTGGCCATATCCACATGAATCCAGTTACCGGGAAAATCGAATCCCAGATGGGCGGCAATGAACAGTCCGGCACAGCTGGACTGAGCATTGCTGCGATCGGCCACGGAGTTTTTCATATCGGCGACGGCAGAAGAGAATTCCGAAAAGTGCAGTTCGGGGCAGTACGGAATCGGGAAAACCAGATCCCCCGATCGTAGTCCGGCCTGCAGTAAGAGGTCCTCCCACTCTCCATTATTGGTTAGCACCGCGGCATGATATTTGCCAGTGGCTATGCCCTTAAATTGACAAATTAATTTCACTTGTAGATAATTATGATAAATTTTAAATGTCAACGGAAAAGAGGAGTCCGTTTTGAAATGGTATAAACTAATAAATCATATTTAAATTGGCCATAGAATATAGAATGCTTCGAAAGTGTTAGAACTATAAAATACGCAAGTACATAGCAACAGCATCACAAAATTAAAATCGATGAAAACGGCTTTAGAAAATAACAAAATATACTACACCAACCTTGAACTGCATAAAAATTCTTCAAATAGTTCAAAAGACTTTTAAAAATATCCCGGGACATTATTCGACCCTGGGGTCATTGATCTTTGACCTCCAGAGACTAAAGCCGAGATTAACTTTTAGCTTCTGAGGTATTTAGATAAGTTTGTACATATTTCCAAGTACTTTGAAATTTTCAAAGTATTCAATATACCTAATTTGTGATTTTTCAGGTATTTCGACGTTTGTACAAGTTTCCGACATATTTCCAATGCCAATTTGATATATTATTCGTTTTCCGACATATTTTAGCGGCAGATTTATATAATTTTTATGTAGTCGGTTAGTTTTACATATTTTGCTGTACTCTAAACATAGGCGGGACTGAGGAGGGGGGGGGGGCAATTGCTCCCCCAATATTATGGCAATTGAGTTAAAAGAATTAAACTCAGTGTTAAACTTCAAGGGAATGCAAATTGCAATTTCAATAGTCACATGGCAGCAGATCGTAGTTAAACCGCAGATAGGTGGCGGGAAAGCGAGTTCAATACTCGTAAAACCACAGACAGCTGAGTTAAACCCCAGATAGGCGGGGGAAAGCGAGTTCAATACTCGTAAAACCACAGAAAAGTGATTTAAATCCCTAATAGGTGGGGGAAAGCGAATTCAATACTCGCAAGCAATACACGTAAAACCACTGACAAGCGAGTTAAACCCTAGATAGGCGGGGAAAGCGAGTTAAATCTCGTGCAACTACAGATAAGTGAGTTAAACCGTAGATAGGTGGGGGAAAGCAAATTCAGTACTCGCAACACCACAGGCAGTTGAGTTAAACTATAGAAAATATAAAAAAAATTTAAAGTTGCAAAATTTTTCGAGATGTTTGCCCCCTCAATGATTTGGGCGAAATCCCGCATATGACCCTAAACCTGTTTTGATCCATTTTAATATTTTATGAAACCTGTTCAAAGTACTTTGACATAATTTATAGAAGCTTTGGTGCTTTTTGCACGATTGTAAGGCAAATTTGATGCATTTTGATGGATTTTGAAGCCCTTCTGATATACGATGGTACGTCCTAAAATTTTTATTACGCGTGTCAAGATTTTGAGGTAGTATTTTGTTTAATTTTGAAGCCGTTTTTACGTATTTATTGCCTTGTAAAAGTGACAAAGTATCTGATTTTATTCTTTGTACAAATCCCGTATTTACTAGCAATTTTTCAGTTTTCTTGTAAGGGCTAATCCTAAATAAAATTTTATAGACTCGCAGATCTTTGGATTCTAAAGCGGGCCTAAAAGGTAAATTTAAATGAGACAAAATTTCTAACTTCGAGACAACACCAGTTTATACAGAGTGATTCACAAATGGTGACCAAAAATGAAACCTCGTATTCTTTGGTGAATTTTAAGGGGTCTTTCCTATAAAATTTTTATCTAGGACGCTTCGTTAAAAAGATACAACTTCAAACATTTTTTAAATAATTTGAAAACTAGTAAGAGAAATAATTTGAAATTGGGCACGTATTTATGTAAACATTGTCCAAAATCTGAGGACTTTTACTAAAATTTATATGCTCCAGTGGCGGAGATACAGGGTATCGGTGGCATATTTTTTTCTAAACACCACTGTTTACGGTAACAACCATGATATTTTCGGATTCGTCGTTCAATTTTCTACAAATTACTACTCTCTTATGTTTTTCGAAAACAGCCTGATTTTCAAGTAAAACTTAAAAAACGAACTGAGAACACAATTCAATATTCCAATATAATGCTTTTTAAAATTACATAGTTGGCTGCGATACCAACTTTGACATTCTGAGCAGTTAGAAGAATAAATAATAAATTTCGAACAAATTACATTTTCGTTACTAAAAAGATGTCGGGCCTGTGTTCGTGGAGGTATTTTTGAGCATTTACTTAAATAAAATCATTAAATGACGACTAATGCTATTAATTTTTTTATTCGAATAAATAACTGAATGATTAGTGCTTGTCATGCCATTTAAGTAAAAGTGTTTTCAGTTGATTTTTTAAGTTTTACTCGAAAATCAGGCTTTTTTCAAAAAACAAGAGTGTACTATAGAGTAAAAATCAGAATTGAAATTTTGATTTTAAAATTTTTATTAGGACATTATTTGAGGTTATAAACAGATTTGTTTTATAAAAATGTGTAAAATAACAAGTAATGATATTTCTCTCTTGGGTATTTTCGTGTTTTTTTAATTTATGAGCACCCTGTATATCTAATCCAAGATGTTTGTATGATATTCTCATTTTTTCGAGGGGCAGAACTTTTCATAAAGTGACATTTTTTGATAAAGTTAAAAACAAAAGAGTTTATCCTCTTGTCAATTCCATCCGTGGACACACTGTATATGCATTATTAATAAACTTTATTGTACTTAAATTCTCAAATTTTTACTAAATTATTTTATTAAAAAATAAAAAAAATCAAACAATCTTATTTTTTTGCTTTCTTTAAAATTGTTTATTAATGATTTTTTACATAAAATTTTCCTTTTACATTTTTTAAATAAACCATGTCGATGAGAAATTCAATTCTCTACAAAATTTTTCCTATAAACTATACCGAAATTTTGCTTCGTTTTCGTGCTACAATTAAAAAACTGAAAGGGGTGCATTTCCACCCCTATCTCCAATTTCCACCCTCTAATTTAATACCACTCCACAGTTTTTTCATATAAAATGACCCTTTGAACGATTCATGCAAAAAAATGGCTTGAACGTCAGTTCCTTTTAACCCTGTTTTTTTTTTTGATATATTCAATAGCCTAGTGTATTTTCGTTGAGATTCTATCACGTTTCCATTTAGAATAATTATTAAATAAAAACCGAGACTGATGTCAGTGAAGACATCAAAACAAATTTTGTTCAGGTCATTATTTTGCCTACACGTTAAAATATCTGTTACAGGCTCCGCCCACCGATACGTCACCCTAACTCAGTTTTAAGTTTGCGATTGCCAAACCAAAGCTCCCTGGTTCGGATCGTGGGTTGTTTGGAACTATTTTCTTTTGATGAAGAACTAATATTTTCATAAAAACTATACCAAAAGGAAATTATTACTTTTTTATATATTATTTTATCGTATTTTACGAGCAATTTTTTTTGCTGGATTTGTCGGCAGCTCGATACATACAATTCAAAAAAATTTTCCAAATCGGCAAACTCTGAATTGCCTACCTTTCTAGTCCCTCTCTCCCTAATACACTTTATAAACATGCTATATAATGGAAGGAAAAAACACTAATACGAAAAAAATAGTTTACGAGTTACAATTTAATAATTTGCCACTTACTTGAGCTCCCGTCAAAGTCGCCATATCCAAAATGATATCAGCCTTGAGATCGCGCTGGGCATAAACCACGCCATCCGCCAACACCAACCGCCCCTCTGCGTCTGTATTGTTGATCTCCACCGTACGCCCCGAGTACAACGTATGAATATCATCAGGCCTAGAAAGTATATTTTAAAAATTGTTCGGACCATACGTTACTTTAACAACAACAACTTACTTTGTTGCGTCCGGCCCCACCGCGTTTTCCGCCAAACAGAAAACGGCATGTAAGTTGTGGCTGAAGTTCGCCTTCACGGCGGCATAGAAGGCACCTAAGATTCCAGCAGCTCCGCCGCAGTCCCGTTTCATTCCCGGCATAGCAGTCTGAAAAGAAATTGCGATATTGAGACCAGACACGAAAACTGTTGTCCGCAGCCCGAAACGTTATCGTTACCTTTCCTTTTAGACTGAGACCGCCAGTGTCATAAACGATTCCTTTTCCAACCCAGGCCACTGTCGTTTGAGCACTCTGAGGCGTGTGACTTAGTACCGCTAGGGCGGGAGGCACGGCAGCTGCTTTCCCAACTCCATAGATGCCCCCAAAACCTTTTTCCGCCAGCTCTTTACCTCGAATTATAGTGGGGGTGATGTTTAATGCCCTGCCAACTGACTGAACTTCCTAAGAGTTAAAATTAACCATCAAAAATAGGTACATCATTAAATAGCATAGGAAAATCAATTGAATAGCAAAAAAAACACAATATTACCTCTAAAAAGTGATCAACATTCATCTCGTTACAAGGCATGTCGACTATACGTGCAGCCAAACGAATGCCAGTGGCTGCATCGTCTAGAGCGTTAATTTCTAGCGGAGATAGGTCACCACTTTCCACAAGGCTGTTTTCCCTGCCGTTATTGCTTCCAACAATCACAAATTCCACAGAAACAGTCGTGACTTCCCCATCGCTACTTCCAGATGTCTTTTTTGAGTACAACGGAAATGCTCTGGCAACAGCACATCCACTTGCGTACACGTCATTACGTTCACAAACAATCTAAATTGAACAAATACTAATTAATACAAGAGAGATACAAGGCATAAATCTTTCTAAACACACATTTACAAAAATTTTAAAGACGGCACTACCTTCAATTGGATGTTCTTATTACTTACCACAATGCTCTCATCAACGCCTGTAGAAGACACTTGGATTAACCTTGTAATAGCATGAGCCCTTGAAGGAGTATTGTGGCGGCTGCATTTCACAGGCAATGCGGCTACCGTAGCTAGATTTAAGTACAACGAACAACTATCAGTCGGCGATGGGTGTAAGCTGGACACAGCAACCTTGAAAGTTTCTTCTGTAACCCTAGGTTCTAGTTTACTCTTGATGGTTTGAAACTTTAACTGTGTCAAATGCTTCACTTGACCAAGAACAAGAACAGGCGTCTGTTGCGGATCAGATTTTGTTAAACCACTCTGGAATACCAGTTTCGTAGCCATAATAAGATTATCTAAAAATGAAAACGTCTTTATTTACTGATACAAATAAGTTATATGTGTTAGTCAACAACAGTTTAATATCAAATTGTTTCAATGTAGTAATATCCTAATTACCAGTTAAATAGATATCTTTAAATAATAAGATATGAAAACATCAAACAATTCTTAATATCTAAAGTAATTCATACATTATTTGCTGAATGATAACAAATAAGTGTTTTGTATCCAAGATACGTATTACTATGCAAATTCTAAATTTAACCAAAAAATAAGCCAATGAGAATGATCAACTGCAGTTGCCAAGAATATAAAAAAGGATAAATAAAAAAATGCACAGAAATAGAAATCTTAACACATGAAAAGAAAATTGTGAATCCATTTTCTTATAGACTTACCAAACTATCGGGAATACCTAATATAATATTTAACAGTTTAACACAAACACATAACCAAACACAGAACGATGCACAACAACGGTATTTCCAAATAAATTTTCAGCACTCCTACATAAAAAAATAAATCGGTAAATACTGATCAAATAAAAGATTATGCATATCACCTCCAACACAAAAAAAATTATATTAAATGATTTGTTGGCCCCAACACCTTAAAATTTCAACAGAAAACAAATATAAACGGATAAACATTTACAACAGGTTGACGCAAACTCAGGGCCCGAGAACTTATACTTGAAAATATGGGGACACTGGGAACCACGTGACTTGAGATGGATATACAAGTTGGGGAAAGAGTCTACAGATGTCGCCACAAAGATTTTGTAGAATAAATTTTGACAATTGCAATTATGAATCATTTCATGTCATTTTTGTTCTTGTTCATGTTTATTGTTTATTGTTGGTTAGGTTTGGCGAGTGTTGGTGTGTGTTTTATTTGTGTTTTTAGTGTGTTTTATTAGATATTTCATTCACATTTATTTATATAACATAATAATGTCTGATCATCATATAATCACATTTTTTTATTAATAATAAAATGTTTTGTTTTTTTGTTTTCTTTAATAAAAAATGTGATCAGAGGTAGGTAGTTTTTTTTATGGATATCAACACAACGAAAAATTTAAAGTTGCATAATAAATCTCTATTACAAGAATTAATCAAAGATTGGTTTAGTAAAATTATTTACTTGTAATATTTTTTTATTCACCGTGAAAGCTAATACAATATAGAAAGCACTGAAACTCTATAATCATTTNGTTTTCCAGCGGGTAGGGAAGTGTCTTAGTCTGAGTGTCGCGTTTGTTATGTTTAGTAGGGCCATGAGGCCCTTGTGTGGTAGTCGTTTAAGTGTCGTGTTATGTATATTGTCGGGTCCGGGGGCTTTTCTGTTTTTAAGTCTGCGTATTGTCAGTCTTAGTTCGTCAGGTGTTGCGGGGGGGATTATGTCATTGTCTGGCTCTCTGTCGACGCGTCGGGCCGCGCGCTCAGCCACTATCTCGAATTCCTCGTCTTCGTCGGGCAGCTGAGGCAGTCTACACTGCAGTTCCAGGCTATCGGCGAAAGCCTCGGCCTTTTCCTGGTTCGTGTAAACCACCCCCACACTACCGTGGATTGGAGGAATTTTACGGCGAGCGGTCTGTCGCAGGGCCCTCTGCGTTTTCCAGAGGCTGTTGTCTTGTGGATCCAGCGACTCCAGGTGCCTAGCCCAGTTATCCTGGGCCAGTTCATCCAGAGCCGCCTTCACCCGTCTGTTAAGTACGTTTAAGTCATGTCTGTGTCGGGGGAGGCGGGTGCGGGTGGCAAGCCGTTTCGCACGTCGTCTGTCACGTATTAAGTTTTTTATGTCATCGGGGAGGGTGCCCCGGGGGTTTGTCAGTCGGGGGACAATAGTCTCCGTCGTAGTCTGAGTCAGGGCGTTTTTAATGTCAGTCTCAAGGGAGAGGATTGCCGCCTCCAGATCATGGGTGGTTTCGATGACTGGGAGCGCCAATACAAGGGATATAAATAAATAGACACTGTGCAAGGGGTTCACGAAAATTCACTCCGGTTGCTCTGATTACTCGGATTTCTTCTTGTCTAGCCCTGTTCGTTAGATACTACTACAAGTGGCTCCAAGAGATCTTGGATCATGAAGAGTACGGATCAGTGACGTCACCAGATCCATTTAGATCTCAAAGTAGAGCAGTCTGATCTTGGAGTAATTTGCCTGTGTTCGTTAAGACGACTTGAACATAACCTATCATAACAAAATTTCTATGATAACCTATGCTTTGATTTGTTGTATTCGTGTGTGTTTTAAGTTTACTTTATCAAGAGTATTATAGCAGTTTTTCTTCTGTTTAGGTATACAAAAAGCAAATTTGTTATCTACCATGAATAATCAAAACTTATTAGGTTTATTGGCGGAGTGCGGAGTTGCTAGTGGAAGAAGAAGAAAATGGATTGGAAAATGTTCAGCTGATTGCTCTAGTTGCTCTACTCCCTTTGCTCCAGCATAAATGACAGAGTAACCAGAGCAATGATCTTATTGATCAGAGTGAAATACTCCTGCATAACCAACAGTATAGATTTTGTGCTCGACTTCAACGAACTCCGATTGAGTTGGAGTACGTCAAGAAGACACAACGAATAGGACTACTGTTGTGGTTTTAAATAGAGAGAGAGAGAATGCCATATCCAGTTCAGATCACTACGAGACCACGAGTTAATTTTCGTAAACCCGACAGTTTGCACCAGAAAACATATAATACAGTTTGCACTATATTTTATCGTACATGCTGCGTTATTTTATAGTACGGTATACGGTATATCTACGTTAGAAGTATATGTTAAGGAACGATTATTGGCCCTATTTAACATGGAGTACAATTAATTAAAAAACGTTTTAATGGTTACAGTAAATTTCACTAGTCACTTTGAACAATTAGAAAAATATTTTTAATACCTTTTGCTCTTGAAAATTATGTACTTACTCCCGTATTTCTGATGAGTGGATTGCAGTAAGCCAGAGAAGAGAGATCAATAAAATTGAAAGCTGTTTAAGAATAAGAATAGGAAAACCCGTGTATTTTACCCTTTACCTGGCAATAATAAAAGTAAAATATGAAAGATATTTTCCTAGTCCTGAGGAATTTTTGGTTGTTTTGAATATTCCCTATACTACATACAATATAAGAATACATCTCCTTTTTCATAAAAAAAATAATTTTTAAGGAAGTACTTTAATTTTATACTTTATTTCAAAAGTTGGTAGTGTTGATATTTTTAAGTACAATATGGCGGCCTCAAAACTGGTGAATTGTTTATTAATTATTTCACTAGTAAATGTCGCAGTAGGTAAGCCCTAATTGATTTTCGTTGTTAATGAGGAACTGAAAAAAATAATATTAATTAATATTCGAATCTTCGTCTTTCCCATTTTTATTGAGTCTCACCACTTTTATTTATAGGGGAAGTAGCCCATAAACCAAACTTAAGAGACGAATCGGACGACGACGATGAATTAAATAACGAACACGATCCTGGAGAACCGCCTCCCAGTGATTTGCTTTCCAAACAAAATCTTAATAGTATCCAAACCACGTTAAAACGATACAAATGCCATTCTTGTGAACCACCTGACTGTTCGATACTTACAACTTGCACGAATGCCTTTCAGTGTTGGAAATCTAGAGTACGAGAAAGTACTGGTATGCACAATTTATTAAATTTCATTCAAGTACATGTACAAAATAAAATACTGTCCATTTTAGGTGAAGAGAGCGTAACAAGAGGGTGCACCACCAATTCGGAGCAATTGCCTCTAATATGTCGGTCGCCTTCGGTCTCAGTTCCAAACAAACGGCATGCCAGTGGCCAATTTCAAATAGACTGTTGTTCTGGCGACTTCTGCAATGATGGAGACTTCCCTGCACTGCCTCCACTTTATGTAGAAAACATGAATCCTTATTCTGACTCTTTCATGTTCGGCTTAAAGATGGTCGGTGCCGTATTAGCCCCCGTTGTGGTCCTGGGTGGTCTAGGTTTGCTAGCACTGTATTTTCTGAGACGTTTCCACAGAAATAGGTTATGTAGTGAAAGCAGATTAGATCCCGACCTGTACTATGCCACAGACGATTTACTTAGGGCTACCGCGGCGGGCGATAGCACGCTGAGGGAATATCTAGAGCATTCGATGACTTCTGGCAGTGGTTCCGGTCTTCCGCTTTTAATTCAGAGGACTCTGGCCAAACAGATTTCCCTTGTAGAGTGTATCGGTAAGGGGCGGTACGGGGAGGTTTGGAGAGGCATTTGGCACGGGGAGAGTATCGCGGTGAAGATTTTCTTCTCAAGGGATGAAGCGAGTTGGACCAGAGAGACGGAGATATATAGGTAAGCGAATTAAATGAGCATTTTCAGTGAGTTTTATAAAAATGGTTTTGACCGGAGTGGGGTCGTTGTGTTGGTATCCGACCAATACCAGTTCTTGCATAGTTTTGTAAAATTTGAACGGAAATAACAAAGCATGAATAAACATTATTTTCTTTCTAGTTTCTTGTTTTTTATCATTATTTTGCTCCCTCAAAGTTCTATTCATATTGCAGTCAAATAATCTACTGACGTGACGGAATCACTTATAGACCAATCAATAGAGGTTTTGTTTGTGACAAAAATACTAGTAGCAAATGGACCATGCCATTATATAAAAGACAGTCTGTAGATATATGCTTATATGTTTCCTACTTCAATTTACCATTAATTAATTTTTTATAAACATTTTTATACAAAAAAACGCAGTTTTTTCTTATAAAACCTAAACTAACCCAGCAATCTGAATGCTATAAAGAGATAATTTGTAGAGAATCAAAATACGAATAAAATGAGAGGTCGATCGATCCGATCAGATACTTAGAAACGAGGCAACCCCCTAAAATTAGGAAAATTAAGCGTTTTTTTTTTTAAATTCACTACTCTGCCATTTTTTAAGTTGTAGAGCTGAACCTGTGCACAAAAGTAGTGAATTATATGTATTTTAAGTGTGCACAAAGTAGGCGCTGTCGAACCATTAGTTTTGGCACAAGTGCAATTTGCATTTTTTGGTGCACTATTTTGCAAAGTTTCTGGATGCGTTCGTGGTTGGACTTTAATTTTTCAGCTGGATTTTAAAAGTAGAAGGATAATACTAAAAAATGTATATTCTAATTTTCCGATAAAATGATGCGAAATGGGTGAAAAATTCCTCCAAACATGCTCAAAAACGGCCTGCTCATGTACGCCGTTGAGTAGTGGGGGGACAGTCGGGAGATGAGGGGCAATGAATATATAGGTATTGTAATAAGACGACCCTAGTCCACTCGCCAGCAGCCAGAGCGAGGTCAAATCGAGAGCTGGTCCACTCGCCAGCAGCCAGAGCGAGATCGAATCGAGAGCTGGGGGAAACCTCAGTTTCCAATAAGACTGGCAGGAGAGCGCATTGTCGCGCTAACTAATCAGTTTAAGTATTAAAGTTTTGTTAAATGTGTAACTCTGTGCAAAATAACCTCATTAAATTTAGCAGTGAATGTAGAATTTCCTCTTAGAATCCTGAACGCATTCGTATAGCTACTCCAGATATTATAGTACGCACGTTCTGCCATTTTGGAGCATGTTTGAAGAAATTTTTCATCTATTTCGCATCATTATATCAAAATTAGAATATAAGTACATTTTGTAGTATTATACTTCTATTTTTAAAATCCGGCTGAAAAATTAAAATCGGACCACCTCTAACACAACCAGAAATTTTGCAAAATAGTGCACCAAAAAATTCAAATTGCAATTGTGCCAAAAGTAATGGTCTGACAGCGCCTACATTGTGCACACTTAAAGTACATATAATTCACCACTTTTGTGTACAGGGTCACCTCTACAACTTAAAAAATGGCGAAGTAATGAATTTTTAAAAAAACGCTACATTTTCCGAATTTTCCGGGTTTTCTTCGTTTTCTTCGGTCGAAAATAGGAATATTTATGGTGGAACTTAAGCAGTACTTAGTTCAAAACAGGCAAAAAATAAGTATGTACAGTACAGACTCTTTAATTCGAACTCGCCTTAATTCGAATATCCACTAATCCGGCCCGACGACCTGACGAATGCCCGTTTCGATGGTCCTCTTTAATTCGAACAAAAGTTCGGATTATAGAATCAGACAACATAATAAAAAGTAACAGCTAAAAACGTAATTCCCCGGCAGTCTCAAGGAAACCCTTTTATGCGAGTCGGAACCTTTCTCGATTAGATCATTTTAGTTGAAATATTGCCATGCAAATATGTCGATATTTATATGACATATTTTACGATAATATTTGGTTTTATTGTTATTTTTTGCCTTCTCAGCAACATATAAAATCTAATTCATATTATATGTATGTACACATAAACATATTTACATACGTACACAAATATCGGTAATTGGAACTTATCTCTTTAAACACGTGTCTTAATTAATTCGGATTAAAGAGTCTATACTGTACTTAAAAATTATTTTGTTCATAAATTATTCAAAGCATAAAATCAAAATTGTACCACAATCGTAGCAAATTCACTACAAAAAAAAATATTGAAAAAAATTTGTTAAATGGTCAAAAACGAAAATACATTAAAGATATTTTTTAAATAATACTCTTAAATTAGTCAAAAAAAAAATTTGATATGCTAAAAAATAGCTATTTAGGGGGTAGCTCAGCGTTAAGTAATGTACGTTTCAATTTTAAATGTGATTTTCATATTTCGTTTATTAAAATTTAAGGCAAAATTATTTTAGTGGGGTGTCAAAAAACTGGATGGAGTGATGAATTGTAAAATATTGGTGATATTAAATCAACTAAGTATATTACTTGATCTGCAAAAGAAATTTATTTTTACAAAATTATTTTTTTTTGCAGTTTGACTTTTTTACACCAAGTTTCATACATTTAGTTTAAAGGGGTAACGACAGGTAACATTTAAAACCGTGCACATACAACCGAGTTCAAGAACTGCCCAGTAACGGCGTAGACAAGAGTTTAAGTGCAATTTAAAAATCAATTGACTAAATTTTAATTTTAGTAGCGTGACACAGAATTAAATTTTTTGCCAGAAGTAAAATATATCACTCTGCTTACCCCCTTAAAAACGTAAATATATCATTTATGTAAATATTTGACACATTGTTGCCAAAACTATTTCAGAGTTAGGAATTTCATACATATATTTTGAAATATCTCTTATTTATTTATTTATTTATTTATTTATTTATTTATTTTATTTATTATTTCGGTAATACTTGAAAAGGGCGTTCTAATACTTTGAATAATTAAATTAATTTTGAGCCCACTTTGGTTATATTATGAATTACGAAATATCTACAAAACAATAATACCTAACAAAAAGTTTAATTTGTTCACCATTTCCAACCCTCACAAAATACATTCTTCTTACAGTACAATATTGCTTCGGCACGAAAACATACTGGGTTACATAGGATCGGACATGACCTCGAGGAACTCCTGCACCCAGTTGTGGCTGATAACGCACTATCACTCGTTAGGTAGCCTGTACGACTACCTAAATTACACGTCGCTGTCGCACCAGCAGCTGATGAGGCTGTGCCTCTCCATAGCTAACGGACTGGTGCATCTGCACACGGAAATATTTGGAACTCAAGTAAGAGACTCCGTTATGGCCTCAGGTATGGCCCAAATATTAACACGCTTTGTTCGTCTCCAGGGTAAGCCGGCAATAGCGCATAGGGATATAAAGAGTAAGAATATTTTGGTGAAAAGCAACGGGACATGCTGCATAGCCGACTTCGGGCTGGCGGTTACTCATTGCCAATCGACTGATCAGTTAGATGTAGGCACAAACCCCAAAGTGGGCACCAAGAGGTACATGAGCCCGGAAGTTCTTGACGAATCGTGAGTACCACATGATTGCTTAACCAATGCTGTGACAATTTAAATCACTCGATTAGAGTCGTGGTAAAAGTCGATAATTGCAATTTTATGAAAGGCATGACTTTAAAGAGAACTTTGAATCGGGAATATACAGGGTGTATCTTAAGTGATGACTTTAATTTCAAGGGGTGATTCCTTGTCATATTTTAAATAAAAAAGTGCATATGAACATCGGTCCGCAAGTGCTTCGTTACCGATATACAGGGTGTTAAAGTTGGGAAAATAAATCGCATTTTCTTAAATATCTTTCGACTGATTCGAAATAATTTAATGAAATTTCATACACGGGGTTTTTTGGAATGACAAATTCAAAGCTGTGGTCAATTTAGGTGTATTTTTTTGAGGGCGCCACCGGCAACGATTTCGGCCTCTTTAATCCATCGCAACTTTTTTCTGCTACCCTGTATGCCATTTTGGACTAGAATAATCGATTCTCCTACCTTATCTGCTTAAAAAAGATTTTAAAGAAATGTTTTTTTGTTGAATACAAAAATTCCTGTGATAACAAAATTCCGATGATATTTGGCATTAAAAGTGACAAGATACTGTCAGTTGACTATCTTTTAGTGTGCAGTTAACTATGAATAACGTTGAACAAGCTCAAATACATTTCATTTATGGGCTAGCAGATGGAAATGCTGCACAAGCCCGTCGAATTTACCAGGAACGATTTCCCAATAGACCACTTCCATCAGAAAGAACTTTCATAAGGCTCCATGCTAGACTGTGCGAAACTGGATCTTTAAATGCTCACGCTGAACGTATTGGTAGACCGAGAACAATAATGACACCACAACTAGAAGAAGCAATCCTACAAGAAGTGGAAGCTAATCCGTCAAGTAGTACGCGAAGATTATCTGAACAGTTTAACATAAGTCATCAAAGTGTTTGGAGGGTTTTGCACACAAATTTACTTTATCCGTACCACATTCAACGCGTGCAACCACTGTTGCCAAGAGATTTTCCTGCACGGTTAGATTATTGTCGATGGTTTCTCCAAAAAACTGCGCAGAATCCCAACTTTACGTCTAAAATTCTGTTCACAGATGAGGCAACTTTTTCACGGGATGCCATCATAAACTTCCACAATAATCATTTTTGGAACTATGAAAATCCCCATGTTATTGGAGAACGTGGATTTCAGCAGCAGTTTTCGGTGAATGTGTGGGCCGGAGTTATTGGTGATCATGTCATCGGACCGCATTTTCTTCCTCCTCGACTGAATGGTGAGACTTACAGACAGTTTCTAGCTGAAACATTGCCTGGTCTGTTAGAAGATGTACTACTAGCAACCAGAAATGACATGTGGTTTATGCACGACGGGGCACCTGCTCATTTCAGTCTTGCTGCTCGCCAACATCTTAATGACACTTTTGCTCAGCGATGGATAGGTCGGGGAGGACCTCAGCCGTGGCCAGCACGATCTCCAGACCTAAATCCTCTGGACTATTTCTTTTGGGGACATCTGAAGTCGCTTGTTTATGCAACGCCAGTTGTAGATGAAAATGATTTAAGAAACAGAATTGTAAATTCTTGTAATGTCATACGCAACACTCCAGGAATTTTGGAACGTGTGCGACAGTCGATGAGCAGAAGATTACATGCTTGTATTGACAGTGGCGGTTCTCATTTTGAGCATTTGATTTAATTCAATTTTTATGATATTTCCAGCTCAAGTAAGTTTAAATGCGTTTTTCATGGAAACGGTTGCTCCTAGCTACTTCATTATTGGCGCCCTCAAAAAAATACACCTAAATTGACCACAGCTTTGAATTTGTCATTCCAAAAAACCCCCGTGTATGAAATTTCATTAAATTATTTCGAATCAGTCGAAAGATATTTAAGAAAATGCGATTTATTTTCCCAACTTTGACACCCTGTATCTCGGTAACGAAGCACTTGCGGACCGATGTTCATATGCACTTTTTTGCTTAAAATATGACAAGGAATCATCCCTTGAAATTAAAGTCATCACTTAAGATACACCCTGTATATTGAATACAGCGTGTTAGAAGTTTTAGTGCCATTTCTTCTAACACACTGTATAATTTAAGAAGAAAATTGTAGTTTAAAAAAATTTATTTGTGGTATTTCTGAAATATCTAATTAAAATTTGTTTGGGTGTTCTGGCATTTTGTGAACTCAAAGAACTATAAATAAATTTCTTCTATTTTTTTTTATAGTTTTTTCTGCAGCTATAGTTTTGTCAGTTTTGAAGCTAAACAATTCAAATTATTTAATAAATTAGCTATTATTGCTATTATTTTCAAGAAATCGATTAAAAAATAAAATGTATAAAAAATTAAGCATCTAAGTAAAAATTAAAAAAAAATAACATGATTTAACCTGAACTGTACCTTTTTACAATATTTTCAATATAAATTGTTGATTTTGTAAATAAATCAATATACAGTGTGTCCAAGATAAGGATGGATATCTAATTAAAATTTGTTTGGGTGTTCTTGCATTTTATGAACTCAAAAAACTAAATAAATTTTTTCTATTTTTTTTTATAGTTTTTTCTTCAGCTATAATTTTGTCAGTTTTGAAGCTAAACAATTCAAATGATTTAAAAAATTAGTTTACCAATTGCTATTATTTTCAAGAAATCTATTAAAAAATAAAATGTATAAAAAATTAAGCATCTAAGTAAAAATTAAAAAAATAACAAGATTTAACCTGAACTGTACCTTTTTGCAATATTTTCAATATAAATTGTTGATTTTGTAAATAAATCAATATACAGTGTGTCCAAGATATGGATGGATATCTAATTAAAATTTGTGTGGGCGTTCTTACATTTTATGAACTCAAAAAACTATAAATAATTTTTTTCAATTTTTTTTAGTTTTTTCTTCAGCTATAGTTTTGTCAGTTTTGAAGCTAAACAATTCAAATTATTTAATAAATTAGTTTACCAATTGCAAAAATTAAGCACAGTGTGTCCAAGATAAAGATGGGATGGGATCATTAGGATCTAGGAAACGGTAAGAGATACAGGTTGGCTCAAATTAGAAAAAAGTTGTGTTTTTTTACCTAACAATATACCATTTAGAAAGTTTTAAAATTCCGAAATTTTGCAAAATCGTTTAATTTTTTTCTAGCTTTATTTGAAAACGAATTTTAAAATAAATTGCATATTTACATTGCCACTTTCTTCGCTCTATCTAATGGCGTCAACATTTTTGCAATCCGACGTTTCGTCTTCGAGGGGCCATCATCAGGTAAATTTTTTTAAAAACCTCGCTGCTATTTTTATGACAAAATCTAGTCATTTTTAATTCTGAATTAGATGATATTACTATTATAATCGCCTAAAAAGGTTTGTAGCTATCATTTAAAATTTTTCCTGAGTAGGGCTCTGAACGCTTTCAAAATATCTATTGGAAGTCATAACGTTATAAAAGTCAATACAGCACAAAATATCCAACAATTTTTTTTAATAAATAATTTAACAAAGTTGTAAGTACCTAATAAAAAAAATAATATGAAATGTTTTATTATTTCTAACTAGTATTGCTCATAGTAGTGAAAAAAAAATTGTTGACTTTTATAATGTATGTCTTCCTCCAATAGATATTTTGAAAGCATTCGGAACTCAGGAAAAATTTTATATACCTTGAAAATTAAATTAAATTAATTAAAAACCATTTTAAGCGATTACAATACTAATATCATCTAATTCAGAATTAAAAAAATGTCTAGATTTTGTCATAAAAATAGCAGCGACGTATTTAAAAAAAATTAACCTGATGGTGGCCCCTCGAAGACGAAACGTTGGATTGCAGAAAATGTTGACGCCATTGGATAGAGCAAAAAAAGTGGAGTGGCAATGTAAATATGCAATTTATTTTAAAATTCGTTTTTAAATAAAGCCATAAAAAAAATAAAGGGATTTTGCAAAATTTTGGGTTTTTCCGGATATCTCCCGAACTGCCCGGAATTTTAAAACTTTTCAAAAGGCATATTGTTAGGTATAAAAAAACACAACTTTTTTCTAATTTGAGTCACCTCGTATCTCTTACCGTTTCCTAGATCCTAATGCTATCCCATCCCTTACCTTGGACACACTGTATATCGCTTATTAAAATTATTTTATTAATATTATTTAAAAAATTATTATGATTTGTTATTTTAAAAAAATAAATTATGAATTAATCAACCTTGCATCGAAAAATTGGTAAAAGTACAGAAATAATCTAATTTTTTCTTTTTTTTTTGCTTTACTTCGATATTTTGATAAGAAGCAACCCATACCACATAGAGAAATTTCAAATGGAATTTGCAAAAAATAATTTAAATGACTGAGATCTCAAAAAGGGTTGCACATATTTGTGCAAAATTATCTTTTTCATACCAACGGAGATGCATTTTTAATAAAATTTAATTTTTGTTATAGTTATATCTATTTTAATTTTAGGTAGATACTAACATTTTTCAAACTTCATAATGCTATAACTATATAAAAATGACAATTTTGAGAAAAGTAAGAAAAGACCATTTGTACTTTAGTTGTTATGAAAAAAATTTCTTCCGATATCTTCATAAAAATTTCCTTTGTGGATCTAGAAATAATCTCTTAAAAGACAGTGTGGGTCGCGCACTTTAATATAGAAATATGAAAACTTCAATTTCCACCAACCTAGAAAGTCCGATGAATTTCTTTTTTAGAATCCGAATGGACAATTTCGATTCCTTCCGAAGGGCGGATATTTACGCCCTCGGCCTGGTCGTGTGGGAGATCTGCCGTAGGACCATCAGCAACGGAATAGCGGAGGATTACAAACCGCCTTTCTTTGACGTGGTGCCCAGTGACCCGAGTTTCGAGGATATGAGGAAGGTCGTTTGCGTCGACCAGCAGCGTCCTAACCTGCCTAATAGGTGGGCCAGCGATTCCGTAAGTACATTGCTTATAAATATTATTTTTTTTTGTCAAATTTATTTATAAATAAAAGTTCAGGACGTGATGATATCCTCCATTTGATCCTTAGGTACCGTGGTTTTAGTTTGTCTAAAAAATGAATTGTTTATCTTTAAACCAATGCTTTTTCTCTGGTTTTTAACAATTGAGCTTTTTATCTCTCACTTTTAAAGCAGGAAATTTTGTTTTATTAACAATCGTCATCCTACAAGTATCCTTGGTGTTATTTCAAAAGTATTTGAAAGTTTGGTTTGCGACTTTTTATCTCTTCTGTACAGCTCTAACAATATGAGTGTATATTAAAACCGTAGTAAACTCAATTTAAGTTAAATTTGTCGATCTTCAGTCCCTATTACTTACAGGCTGGATTTCAAGGATTTTTCAGGGTCTTCGATAGAGTAAATCGCAATATTTTATTCCACAAACTTCATATACTTTGAGTTTGTGATCTTTTTCTAAATTGGATAAAAATTTTCCTTTCATAGACGTCAGATGTTTATATTTGAGAAATTTCATATCCAACAAAATCGCAGCGGTGTCAGGTGTGCCCCAAGGCTCTCACGTGAGGCCATTGTTCTTACTGCAGGAGTAACTCCCATTCGGTGAAATCAAGGTGTAAAGTTCTTAGCAGCCACTGTATTATTCTTGAAATGATATTTATTTAAGAGATAATGTCAAGGAAATTTGGAAAACATTGGTGATTGACAAATGAGAACTAATTTTTTGTTCAAATTTAGCGTTACCCTCTATAGGGCTTAGGTGTGTCTTAAGCTGGGACATTTTTTAAATCTTCTAAAACTTAGAAGTATAAGGAAAGGGGGAGGGCCCGTAAGGACGGTTTTTGGTTGAAAAAATCTGAAAATTTTTTTTTAGTACCTAGCAATACTGAGTCGTTTCCACCCTAAATGAACCAACCTCCTCACCCTCCTTTCTCCCTCCCCCCCTAAAATGCCGGGGAAACCATCACTTATTAGAGGAATCTTTAAAGAGCTTAGAGATGCGAAACACATTCAATTCCTATATGAAGAGTTTTTTGGGTCGCTGATCACGAATCTGGTCTCAGAATCACGAAATTCAAGATGGCGGATCCAATATATAATAATATATAGCGGACAAAAAATGAAAATGCCTTCAAAGTGCACGAATTTTTGTGTTGGGGGTTTTTGTGTCCTTGGATATCCCATTTGGCGAGTATAAAAAAATTGAAATGTCTTCAAAATGCACAAATTGTGTTGAGGGATTTTTTGGGTCACTAATTACGATATATGGAATACATCATTTTGAATTTCGTAATTCTGCCTTCAGATTCGTAATCAGAGGCCCAAAAACTCCCATTACCAAAAAATTCATGCATTTTGACATTTTAATTTTTTTGTCAGCCATATTGAATCCGCCATTTTGAATTTCGTGATTCTGAGAAAAAGATTCGTGATCAGCGACCTAAAAAACTCGTCATATGTCAGATTCATAGGAATTGAATGTCTTTCGTATATCTTTAAAGATTCCTCTAATAAGCGATGGTTTTCCCGGCATTTAAGGGGGTGGAAGGGGAAAGGAGAGTGTGGGGTTGGTCCGTTTAGGGTGGAAACGACTCAGTATAGCTAGTAGGTACAAAAAAAAAATTTTCATTTTTTTCAGCCAAAAATAAATTAGGTTAAGGGCCATCCCCCTTTTCTGATCAAAATGAATCAAATTAAAAAAACCAAAAAAAAAGTTTATGTTGACTTACTCTTCTAGCTTTTATGCGGAATGGCGAAGCTGATGCGGGAGTGCTGGCACCAGAACCCTAACGTGCGACTGCCCGCCCTTAGGATTAAGAAAACCCTGATAAAGATGGCCAGTGCGGACGCTATAATAAACATGGAAGACATGGAAGTATGCGTGTGATAGTAAGAGGTGTTTGTTGAAAAGAGAGATACTCAAAACTCTGTAGCCTCAGATATTGTTCGAAATGATTTCTCATTTTTTCAGTACATATTAAGATGTGCCAAATTTTATCGTACGTTAACTATTTTTTTTTTTAACTAAATTAAGGACCAGTATTAAGTTAAAGTTTCTGTACTCCTAAACTGTTAAGTGCCATTTATTTCTCGTTGTGTTTATCGTTACACGATACCTTTAATTTTAGGTACTTTGTAGCGTAGACGGTCTCAGTGCTGCCCATAAGTTGTAAATTTGAATTTCGTGATGAGGATCGCTGAACGTTGTCTGTTGCGGTGTGTTAAAATGTGATATTAAAATTTATATAGTTTATCGTTTGATATTCTGTTGAAAAAAGAGACAATCACGAGATATTGACTGTCTGCCAGCCCTGACGACACATTATCAGAAGCGGGATGCGGCCACAGTCTCATTCGCGACGGGTAGGAACTTGAAATTGTAGACTCCGTAAAGTGGAGAACCGCGAATAAAAAACGTTACATTTTTTTATCGCCGAAATCAGAAAATAGAATTTCGAAATTAAAAGATGTGTTGTGAATCAGAGATTGTGGTCGTTGTCCCTTGTGTAGAGCTTTAAGTTGTATTTATTTATTGTTAATTTGTTTTCGTAACTTAGAGTACAGTTCATCAAATTACAGTAAAGGAATTGCTGTTTTTTGGAGGAAAATAACTTTGTAGGAACTTGTTTTCTTTTAATAAAAGAAATGCCGTCATTTTTTACGATGTAGGTGATATGAAGGTAAGCGTTAGTAAACCCGGTTTTCAAGATCGGAAGTCAGTTTCGGAATCAAATTCCAATGCAAATCCCAAAATTGAACAAAAAAAAAAAAAACAAACATCAAAAATCCTTCTAAAATCCAAAGTACATGGTTATGTGAACAATTGTTCAGATGAAAGTTACTGGTCTCCAAGGGGCACATGTTGTCGTGACCTTGTTTGCGACCTTGAAGGTCATTTTCAAGGTCAACGTAGTTTTTTTAATTGGAAACCCTTATTTTCAACCCCGGATTCGGAAAGAGCGGAAAATCCTACGTTCAGATGATGTATCATGTGTGGGGTCCATTTGACCCCTCAAGGTCACGTCAAGGTCAATTTTTTGTTGGGTTAACGTCGCCATAGTTTTTCAGCAGCGGCAAATGACTGCTTCAAAATAAACTTGTTACATGTCGTGTGCTTCTTCATTGGTGTACACCATTTCTGCAAAAGTCTTTTTCTAAATTAATTTTAATGTTACAAGTCAAGATTATTGAAACATGTCACTTCAAAATTTTGCAACGTTTATCTGACACATTTTTCGCTAAACCTTCACTTTGTGGGGTCATTTTTGAGTGGAAAGATTCAGTTTAAAAAAAATTACCTTAACGTGACCTTGGGGGTCAAATGGACCCCACACATCATCTGAACGTAGAATTTTCCGCTCTTTCCGAATCCGGGGTTGAAAATAACGGTTTCCATTAAAAAAACTAAGTTGACCTTGAAAATGTCCTTCAAGGTCACAGACAAGGTAACGACGATATGTGTGGTCTGGGACACCTCGTATACTCATTTTATCTGGGATCGTATGAAAGGTGATCGTATGAGTTTTTTAATGCAATTTCTAGTGTAAAAAATTGGTTTTCTTCAGGGAATATGCCATCAAAGTTGTGATTACATGATTCCAGTTCGAAGGCAACTCGTAACTCTTCGATGTAGTAAATAGTGTGTCAGTAGGAGCTCTCTGCGCAACATTTGATTTGGTGTCATAAGTTTGTTACGAGTTGATTCTTTTATATATCCTTAGTACTCTTTACGACGGCCTATTAATTATCGAGTTCACTTTTAGTAACAATGTATCGCTTCAGGCATGAATTCGCCTTGCTCGTGGTTTTAACCAAGCCGTCTGCGCAATAAAGAGTGATTTTACACATGTACCTTAAATAACTGTTTCAATTTCGTAAACTCCATATCAGCGTGACTTATTGCATTAAAGAATGGTCTTTCTATGAATTAGATCATCCAAGTGTTGTCGCTCACATAGACGTGATCAAATCTTTGAAATGTGAAAACTATTTGAAAATCATTACCGTTTGGTTTGATATAAGGAAGTCGTACATAAACAACCTCATTTCGAGACTTTCGTGATCAATCCCAAGAGTTGAAACCTCAGTCTTTAAATTTTGAAGCTCCAAAAACCCAGATTTTGTCCCTAATACACAGGGATCTGTATAGTACATCTTTAGAGATTTGCATTCAATGGGATTCAAACCCTTTAATTCTACGGCCGTTCCATACACTTGGACATTGTTTTTAGTGTTCAGCCTATTTATGTAATAGTCTTTTATATTTTATTTGTACTATCGACCCAGTGAACATGAATTTTATCAATTTTTTTTTTTCATGTCGCATATACAGAGGTGTAACTTTAGTGGGGATCATATTTATGCAGAGGCTTCCTTTGACCTTCAGAAAGACGTATCAATAGTTTACTTTTTGTTCGCTGCACATACAGTACTTAACAAGTAACCTAGCAAAAAAACTGGAGCTGTAATTAGTAATGATAAATGAAATACACAAAAATAAATAGTTTTCTCTGAATTTGTTCCCGTCCAACATTAGCATATTGCCGTTCAAAGCTTGCATAATCTCTTAAATATGTAACCTGCCACTTTTAACTATGTGGACCTCAGAGTACAGAGTTGGTTTGGTTTTCAAATGCAGAGTAACAACTGACCCCCTTGCTTTGTCACAGTTGACCTGCACTATCCCTTCACATGCACTGTAAGTTGCTTACAATTCGTGTATTTGCAATACATGAATATTACAGTGGCGGCATACACAAATATTAAAGTGCATTTTATGAAACTAATTATAATTCGACTATTTATTTGATTAAAAAAAAAAAAAGAATTTCAGATTTGTATTCAGGAGAACACATACTATTACCCCTAGAAAACTGACCCCTGCTTACAGTTACACCCCGTATATTCCAACTAGTTTTTGCTGTGCAAAGTCGTCATTGGGGAAAAAGGAAAGTCTTATAGATAAGCCTGGTTTTTTTAGTGTACTAACACATATCGCTTTAAAAATTACGCTGGGCTTTAACCTAAAAATTCTTGCATTTTGAAAGTTATCATAATGGTTAAACCAGTTGGATGCACTAATTTTGAACAGTCACCTGAAATTTGCTAGTAAAAAAACGTTTTTTGGTCATTTTATAAAATTTTATTTAAGATTTTGATATTTTGAAAAATCTATAATCGTAGAACATTATGTGCGGTATGCAAGTAACCGTGATAAACCAAAAAAATTTACTCGTAGACCTTTCCCATGAAAATCTCAATTTAATTTTTAAATCGCGTTTAATTTTCAAAATCTAGCGATTTTTTTCTATTTGGTCGCAAATTACTCAAAGTACAAAAATACTTTCAGGTTAAAGTTAGACTACCATGACAATGTAGAACAAGAATTAATACAATGTTTATTATGAAAATAAATTTTTCACTGATGATGGTCGTAAGGTCTCGAAACTGTTGGAAAAAGGCTTTATTTTTTATCAACTCCCCAGAATTTGCCGATTTTCCTGGTTTAAAAAACCACTAAGTTATTTTCCACAAAATTCAGTCATTCGACTGGTAATCTCAGGAATTGTATTTAATAGAAAGTTAAGTTAAGAGCAACGGACATTCTCAAATCAAATATAGAATAATTGTAACTGTTAGGTATCTTTTATATTTGTAAATATCACGTATCTATATCTCGATATCATATCTGTTCGAGGCTGTCGGGCATAAAGGCACCCCCACCCGCGGGCAGTTTTAAGCCCAGCAGCTGTTGTTTTAATAACTTTAAGTAACAAATTCATATCAATTTATTTATCAATTTATGGAAATATCTAATACTTACTCACCTGTCGTTATCATCGTCAGTATTTTGTTGTAGTTGTGTGACCCATTCATTTCATTTGTACATACTCACCTCACCTAGATATCCGACAAATTCCGTAAGCAATATATTTAGTTTCAAACATAGATTGCCTCGTTTTATTTCTGATTTTAACGGAGAGCGTCCAAGTGCTCCTGTGTCTACTAATAAACATAATAATATACACTACTACGTCTACTAATAAACATAATAATATGAGGAACGCCAGAGACACAAAACTTGGTATGAGCATCCTACTAATAAAGAGACAACTTTTCAATATTTGTTCGGTCATTGGCGTATTTTATAAAGGAGTGAAACAGTCGACCCCATTGCAATATTTTATTAGACATTTGTTATATGAAGGAAATTATTTATTTAAAAATATTTATTGGGAAGACTGATTTATGGCGCAACTTTTTTACCTCTTGTAATTTTTCGATAAAACCGATAGTTTTCTAGTAAAAAAATTAGATGCGTCATCGTTCACTAAAGGGGTAATTGCAAAAATTTATAAAAATAAAGTAGGCGGCTGTCATAACATAAATTGTTATTTATCATATTAATAAATTGACACTTTCTGTCAATAAGCTGGTAATTTAATAATAACATTAAGAATAATTTGCTATTAATTAATGAAAAATGTTTGAGAAGTTATGACTATGGGACATATATTAGGTAAAGCTATTTATCTGAAATAAAATTTAATACAAATGAAAATCAGGAAACGCAAAATTAAATTTAAAGAATATTCTCGAAATAATTTCCATTTTGCTGCAAGCATAACCTAATACGTCTGTTGAAGTTAAAAAGCACTCACACAAACAGTTCTTGGTTATTGCGAAGGTCATATGCTGCCTGGAATATTCTTAAGCGTAGTTCTTCTAAGGAGGCAACAGGAGTGGCATAAACAATACTTTTTACGTGTCCCCAGAAAAAGAAATCCATAGGCGTTAGGTCAGGTGAACATGCATGCCAACAAACAGGGGCATCACGACCAATCCAGCGACTCGAGTAATTTAAATTTAACCATTCTCTAAGGGCAAGTGTACTATGTGCAGGCGCCCCATCATACATATACCACATCACCTGACGTGTAGTGAAGGGTACATCCTCAACTAATGGTAGAAGATTTTCGTTCAAAAATATAAGATACTCGGCCGCTCCAAGCCTGTATGGAAGAATAAAAGGACCTACTAGAGTATTTCCTACAATTCCCATCCAAACGTTTAAACTGAAATTATGTTGACATCTTGAAACAAATATTTCATGAGTATTTTCTTCCGACCGTGAATGAACATGATGAAGGTTTACTGCACGCACCTCTTCTAAGAAAATTTGATTCATCGGTGAATGTACTTTATATTCATTAAGAAATTGAAGTCATGCCTGGAAATATTAACGTACCATTGACAAAAATCCACGTGGTTAGGTAAATCAGGGTCATTCAATTCTTGCACGGGTTGATGGTTAAAAGGGTATAAAAGATTTTCATGAGCTACATTCCACACAAGACTGTGAGACTGAGAAACTTGCAGTTGCCTGGACACTTCTCTTGTGCTTGTACCACAATCTTGTTATAGATCTAGATGTTCCAGTATAGCTTCCTCAGTTTCAACAGTTCGGACATTACGCCTCCTTCTGGCACCCTCAGGATTGGGCTGAATTTTACCAGTTTCGCAAAGCCTTCTTTCCACCGAAGCCAATGTTTGTCTATGAGGAAACGGTCAGTTTGGATATCTTTGGTGGTATAATCTTACTGCAGCATTACTATTTTTTCTGGATTCGAAGAACAATCGGAGCATGTCGACATATTCGTCATTGGTATAAATATTATTTGCCATAATTATTCTGAAAATAAATTAATCAATTCGTACTAATTATTGGTTGACAGAAAGTGTCAATTTATTAATATTATTTTACCGCAAATTACGTTTAAATTGTTAAAAAAAGAAAAAATTCGAAAAATTTTCGAAGTTTTCTTTTTTGTTTTTTTGAAAAACCTTCCGGACATTGAAGGAAACAAAATCCAATTGTTTCAAGCACCATTCGGCTTTTTCGTCCTATGCTTCTGTTCATCAACTTTTAATTAAATTAAAATTAAAGTTGATGACCCAAACCAGATTTTGACCCGAATTCATACCGTTTTTTTGAGACAAATTTCTAATTCATTTTTGTCTGTAATCACTTAAAAAATTTGTTTTTCTACAAAACTGTTAAAAGTGGGATTTTTAATTGTCATTTTTAACACTAGTGTTAAAAGTAACTTACTTTTAACACGCGTGTCAAAAAATGACATTTTTAACATCAAAAATGACAATTAAAAAGCCCACTTTTAACAGTTTTGTAGAAAAAATAGTGTAGTGAAGTGAAGTAGTTCGTGAAGTTAAAAAACTCGCTACGCTCGTTTTTTAATCATCTTCACTCACAAAATAAAATTTTACTTTTAACACGTATATCATAAATAGTTATTTTTTTGAAAACTACCTTTTCTTCCCTGAAAAAAAAATTCATTTTTTTTTCTTTCATCAATTTAAACGTTAGTTGCGGTAAAAATGTGAGAAAACCTCAAAAAAATATTTTTTCCATTTTAATGTTGATTATGAAATGTTTCAGCTCAAAAAACGTTTAGTTTTTTTCAAAAGTTTGACTGTTTGAAGCAAAGAAATCGTTCACTAGATCGAGATGCAACTTCACAAGGTTCTTCTGAGTATATCGAATTATAAAAGTCATGCTTAACATTTCATGAATATTTCTAACCGTAGTTCTTGAAAAATTTCAACCGAAAGATCTAAAAACTAGAATCTTAAGCATCAAAGTGCATTTTTTTAATTCCCAATACGACTATTTTTCACCTAAATACAGTCTGACGCAAAAATTTCGGAAATTCTTAAATTGTTTTCATTATTGTATAGTAAGTATAGTTAAATTGAAAGACGCAAGCTGATAAAATTGGGAAACTAATTTGTGTCATCTGTCATACATGTTTTATTTTAAACAAATGACATGAGCCACCTATGACTGCATTTTTTAATAAAATTTGATAAAATACGGTTCGTCTCTGCCCCTTGTAAAATTTACCAGTGTACAATTTTTTTTTCTGTAGTTGATCATTCGTTTTTTTTATAATATATTATTTGTTAGTTAGTATGCGATGTGAATAAAGCCATTATAACAATATTTTAAAAGAATACTTTGTCTCAGTGTGATTTAAATAAAATAATAGATTTTCCTGTTACATCATACATTGCATATTGAAGTCGACATATCTCGGAAAACAGGTAAATATAGGGAAAAACATTTATATTACAAAAATTACTCAAAATTTAATTATCTTGGAGATGGACTACATTTCGTCGTTTCAGGGATCAAAAAATGCTTATCTTTAAAACACAGTGCCTTAAATTGCACTAACATTTTTGGAACCACTGATTCCATTGATAGCTCCACCCTCCGTTTACAAGTGTTGATGCATGCCTACTTGGAAATATTGATGGGCCGTTTCAGCATATTTATTTGCACTTAATACTAGCACCAAAGGCGCAAGGTCCTTTCACAAAAAGAATCTAGAAAAATAAATGGCTTCACTTAAGAATTTGTTCACTAATAATTCTCACAATAAAAGACACATTTCATATTGTGAATTAAAGCCTAAATTGATGATTAAAAAGGAATTGAACAATTTTTGTTTAATACGTAAAACAAGAGAAGTTTCAGCCCCAACTATGCACCTTTTTTTATGTAGTATGTAACTCGGAGACGATTCCAGAAGTTCTCAATTTGTTTCGCAGTTTCAATGATTTTGATTCCTGCAAATACTTAAAAAGCCATTTGGACTACATTCAGATAGTTGAAAATGTAAGAATAATTTTAATAACTTATTGCAAATGGCCTACATGGACATTTTAAATAGGCAAATAATACATCTCTAGATGCACAATTTCATTTTCAAAATACGAGTTTCACTTTTTATTTGCAAAAAATTGAGATGCTGGCAACTTTATTTTAATATACAGTGTGTAACTTTAATTGTTTTTTTTTTTGAGGTAATAGGTGTTCGCCATATAATTTGAAATTACAATTTTTTTTAAAAGCAAATAAATATCCAAATTATAATTGTTTCTCAAAGTGCACTTAAAAACCTGTCTATGCCGCTACTGAGTAGTTGGCTGTGTATGCGCACGCTTATCACTATTATTAAATTGTTTTTAAATATCTTAGTAACGCCACTGACTCGCAGGCAAACGTCAAATTCGATTGATTAAACAAATACAATAGGCACTCTATTTTTTATTATTTAAAAATAAATTGCACATGACTTATTATAATGACTGCATAAATAAAAATAAGGTATACATCGTATAAGGCATATCATTACCAACAACAGTAAAATATATTATTCATATTCACAATTTATACAAAGACTTAAATTTCCCTGACTCCCGTCCCGTAGTTTGCCCCTCCGGCCTTGTTTAGCTCGTTCACGAAGTTTTTCAAATCAATTTCAGTGGTGTTCTCTACTTGCAACTCCACTGCAAAATTCTGAAACAGGAGAAAGAAGACGATGACAAAGCAATGAATACAACATTTTTAAAGTATCTTACAGAAATAACATTTTTCACAACAGCCTTATCGGTGGACATTTTGGCTCGTTGCAGGACGCTGACCAAGGGCCCCACCCAAGTGACAAAGAGGAATTTCTGTCTTTTCGACATCTCGTCTCCGGTTTGGACTCGAATGTAGCCAAAAGCTCTTTCGTTGTCACTGAATTGTTCTTTGAATTTACCAAAATCTGCTCCGGTGGCGGACGGTGCGATCTTTGAACCGTCGAACTTTAAAACGGCCCTATGGAACAAATAAAAAATATAAAAAAATTCGCAAATAAGTATTTAACGACACTAACCATTGGGTTTCTGAACTGTCCGACCTAACATCATCGTACGCTGCTCTCACCGATTCAATATCCATGCTGGTGGACATAGTACTATTCTGAAACGAAAATAAACCGTACATTAAAAACTTGTCTTACTCATGAGTTAAACAGTTAAAAGCTAAAATAAAAATAATGGAACCAGACCTCGGTAAATATTTCAAGAGAATTTAATTTGAACTGAATTTTAATTTGTTATTTTTTGGTCTCTGACAAACCTTGTAACGAAACCTTCGACAGGTATTAAAAATAAGAAACTTTTATAATTCATCTGTTTCATTACATTAGTAATATGTACGTTAAGAAATTGCATCGTTAAATTTTCACTTTCCCTCCCAAACTAAATACTTGGCGCAAAATATCAGAATGGAATATCGCATAAATAAACCATATTTAAGAGTTCGTATTACTCATCAGCACCATATGTGGTGGTGAATTTAGAGGTCAGAAGTCAGGACATCCTTGAGAACATGGTCGATCTAGGCCAACAATATTTACACAACTACTAAAACAAATATTATGAGAAACAGTAACTTATTCGAACAAACCTATGTGATACAGGATCTTTATCAATGTTTCTCACTTTTTTGGTATAGAATCAACACAAAATTCTTCCTTAAAACTTGCCATATCCGTATGGATACGAATTAAAATATAAAATTGTTAAATTCAAACACATTTTTTAAAAATTCCTTTATTCAAAGTTTGAAATATCCTTTTTCTTTACAATTTTCTAACTAGCCGAGATTTAAATTCAGCCAAAAAGTTTTTACGGCGTTTTAGTTTCAAAACTGCTGCTGTTTATACTCTTTTAGTGTGACGTCACATATTTAGGCAACCCACAACAAATTGTCATAGTTCAAATTGTACAGACCGAATGTCACCCTTGAGTACTATTTAGGATAGATACTATAAAAATGAACAACTTCAAATTAATTTATTTTTACAAGGATTTGGAAGTATTTAAGAACAACCAACACGTGTTTGGTAAAATAGATACACTAATGTGCTTAAAACTTACAAAAAACAATATAAAAGGATATTCATAAATTTAAAGTTAAAATTTAACATTAGCCGTGTCATTTCTAATGCGCATGCTCGGACGGGTACCCTCATACACAGGTGAAATCATCGCTGTCGTCTTTGGCGTATTATTTTCTCTTCTTTTGTTTAATCTTGGCATTTTCTAGTTTCTACTAAGTATTTTTATTGTTTTTCTTGGCGTTATGCTGCGTTAGTGTGTTTATTTATCCTTTTAAGTGATTTATTATAGACGTACTCTTAACCGATACCAAACATTTCTTGAATGATACCCTGATGCGAGGCTACTTCGCTTACATGAAATTATCTTTAACGCGCTTGCTCAGTATAACATTGATAAAGTTTTAATTTATAAGTCAATATTCTATAAATTTAAATATATAAGTTATCGGGTTTGAAACTTCTTGAATATTTCTAATATTGCCAGAATATCGCGATATTTAAGGTCATGACAAAGAAGACATTTTTTTGGCACTTATGTCCCAAGTACATAAGGTCGAAAATCAATCTAGTAAAAATGTGACGTCACTACTAAAAAGGTCTATTATGATCAGACCTTAACTTTGCCATGAGCAGTGATAAACATTTAAGTAATTTTTCTGAATGGATTGTAGATATAGGATTGATTTTTCCACCTCTTAAAAAGTGTGCTTGTCAATTTAATCTATATCTGTTTCATAAAAAACGTAAGCATAAAAACTGTAGATATAAGTTGAATTGACAAATGAAGTAATTTGACTGTTGAAAAAAAAACACGGACCCCCAGTCTCAGTTTTTTTTTTAATTAAATATATGTAAGTACTTGCATATATATCTGTAATTTTTATTAAATTATTCGTATTAATGTAAAACGACTCCAATATTTCTTTGTATGCAATATATGCTGTAGTTACATGAGTGTCTATCAGAAATTTACCAAAGGGAGCAGGAGAAAATGCTAGCCATAAAAAGAAACTAAAACCGATACAATTTTTCTGAATTGACGACACCTTTGTGTTTACGCATCGAGTGCAAAAACAAGCATCAAGCGCCCCCCTCCTCATTCCGTACGCCCATGATCATGTACGATTTACCGTCGGGCCTTGGCAATTACTTTGTCTTGCCGCAACAAATTCATGTTTGCGGTCTTCTACGATCTGTAATGTGGTCATGACATTACATTACATTTACGTGTAAAATACAATTTTCATTTTTCGAACGACTCGCGACATTTTCGTAGCGCTGTATTACGGTATACAACTTTTTAACGAAACGAGAAACACGCCTGTACAGGGTGGGCAAATAAGCGAGGTAAGCGGCTGTATCTCAAAAACTAGTGATCGTAGAGAGCTACGGTTAAAAATTTTATAGGCAAAGTGGGCAAGGGAAAATGCTGGAAATTATTTTCAAGTTTCCAAGATGGCCGCCAGTGGGCGTTTCCACCATCTTGAATTACATAAAGTTACGTTTCTCGCGATTTTCCCCAATGAATGTAACAAAAAAGTATTTGCGTTTTAATGTTAACTTAAAGTCGAACATTTTTTGTAAAAACAATTTTTCTCTATCTTTCGAAATAAAGTGGTGGGGGGTATTTGAATGTTGTTTTAAATAAATGCCTGTAACTTCGAAACGGCTTAATGGATTTGGATAAATTTGGTATCATTGAAAAGAGCATTTCTTGGGCTTTTAGGTTTCTCGTAATCATGACAGTTGCGACCTACACGGCCGCCGATAGAGGGCGTTATTCGATATTATAACCAAAATATTGGATTTTCTCAAAAAATTTAAATGCGATGATATGACTTTTTTTAGACTAGAAAATAGACAAATGACCAACCAATAAGCCTGCGCAAACCGCATCTTAATATCTTTTTCCTAACTCAAATTATTAAAAAAAAATACTAAACCAGGAAAATTCATATATCCCCATTTAAAAATGCATCGGTTGCTTTCGATAAGAAGGCAAGTAGTAGGCCATGGAAATAAAAGACAAACTCCTCTCTAAAATATTCACAAGAAATGTCAGTTTATTTAGTGCTGTGATTTTAAGTCGCACGTTTTCGTATTTATAAGCGATTTTCCTTTTAAATAAAGTTGTGGTCCTGAAAAGGACCGATTTTGAAAAAAGATTAATGCCTTCTGTGTTCAAATTGCCTTCCGTCATATTCCACACATTGTTCCAGTCTTTCTTGAGTCGACAGAACCGCAGCCTCGATTTCTACCGCTGATAGTTGACGAATTGAGTTTCGAATTCTGTTTTCCATATCCATTCGTGTTGTTGGTGGAGTTTGAAAAACAATGTCTTTTAAGCGTCCCCACAAGTAAAAATCAAGACATGTCAAGTCCGGAGATCTTGCCGGCCAAGGAAATAGGCTTCCCCTTCCTATCCAGCGTTCTCGAAAGGTCCCGTTAATATGGTTTCGGACATTAATTGAATAATGTGCCGGACAACCATCTAATTGCAGAAACATAGTTCTCCTAGTTTCGAGTGGCACATCTTCCAACAAAATTGGCAAGTCGTTGATCAAAAACTCTAAGAAGCGGTTACCAGTTAAAGCTTGATCAAAAAAATAAGGTCCAATAATTCTGTCCCCAATGATACCGCACCACACATTTAGGCTCCAGCGTCCCTGGTGCTGCACTTCTCTTAACCAATGCGGATTTTCAGCGGACCAATAATGCATATTATGACGGTTTACTCTACCATCACTACTAAAGGTAGCCTCGTCGGTCCAGAGAATTTCCGTTAAGAAATTTCTGTTTTCCTCAAGCATGCCTAGCATCCATTGACAATAATTTAATCTATTATCGAAATCTTGTTCATTTAGCGCCTGGTGCAAAACTATGTGGTAAGGATGTAATCTAAAAGTAAAAAACAACATATGCGTAAAAATAATATAATCAGAATAACACTGAATTGTGTATTTGAGAGTATGTGCTAAGATACTTGGAATAAGATAAAATTATTTACCTATAATCTTTCAAAATATTTCTAACAGTTGTTCGTGCTATTCCCAAGTCTAGAGACAATGTTCTAGTTCCTACATGTCTATCAAATTCTATGTAAGCCAAGACATTGATAATGTTTTCTTCGGTCCTTCCATTGCGACGCCTGCGACGTTTAGGACGACGAAAACTTCCAGTATCGCGTAATCGCTGTACCAAGCGCGGAAACATTCTTCTCCCGTAATGACGGCGATCTGGATACCGTGCCGCGTACTGTCTTGCAGCTATAGCTGCATTTTGAAAACACTCGAAATAAATCGCAATCATGTCAACGGCTTCATTATTTGTGAGAGGCATTTTGATTAAAAAGTACTCAAATTATACGCAATCAACAATATTAGGCTGCGTGTGACAAAAGTTTGACGTTACTTGGCAATATTTTTGTTAGGCGATTGTCGTGTCCATGGCCTACTACTTGCCTTCTTATCGAAAGCAACCGATGCATTTTTAAATGGGGATATATGAATTTTCCTGGTTTAGTATTTTTTTTAATAATTTGAGTTAGGAAAAAGATATTAAGATGCGGTTTGCGCAGGCTTATTGGTTGGTCATTTGTCTATTTTCTAGTCTAAAAAAAGTCATATCATCGCATTTAAATTTTTTGAGAAAATCCAATATTTTGGTTATAATATCGAATAACGCCCTCTATCGGCGGCCGTGTAGGTCGCAACTGTCATGATTACGAGAAACCTAAAAGCCCAAGAAATGCTCTTTTCAATGATACCAAATTTATCCAAATCCATTAAGCCGTTTCGAAGTTACAGGCATTTATTTAAAACAACATTCAAATACCCCCCACCACTTTATTTCGAAAGATAGAGAAAAATTGTTTTTACAAAAAATGTTCGACTTTAAGTTAATATTAAAACGCAAATACTTTTTTGTTACATTCATTGGGGAAAATCGTGAGAAACGTAACTTTATGTAATTCAAGATGGTGGAAACGCCCACTGGCGGCCATCTTGGAAACTTGAAAATAATTTCCAGCATTTTCCCTTGCCCACTTTGCCTATAAAATTTTTAACCGTAGCTC